ACAATAACCCTAAGGGTGCAGCAGTTGACACCCACTCCTTGGTGGTAACCAACAGCTCTCTAATTGAACCTAAGGCCCGCTCAACAGGAGGGAACTAATGCCTGGTACTGGAACTATTTGGAGCTAGTGAAGTCATGGATTTTGGAGGAGAATCTACAACCACCAATTTACTAAACCAGCATAATCCCTAACTACATTCTAATTACTTATCCTAACACCTACAGATAAGTGTAGTTCTTACCCCTCAACAAGGTAATTTCTCTTTGCAATAGATGGGAACCACTCAAACCCACAACTGATCAAAATACAGTTGTGGAGCCCAGTACCAGCTGATACATCCACAACTCCTGTGCCTAAGATTCAGGGCTCACTGCAGAAGAGTGGGCAGAAAGACTGTAAGAAGAACAGGGAGTCTGCTGTGAGGTTGTGCCTCCCAGCAAAGTGAGAGAAGCTACATCCATGCAGTCTTACCAACGTGGCTGCCTAAACATGACCTGAACAAGGAGGACACAAATTGACATGCTAACACGGAGGAGGCCAAGTCCATGAGCCCCCAACCCCAGACAAAGAACTAGACCCAATTAAGGAACGGTGACAGAAGGAGAAACAGTTCTCCCCAGGGGAGAGCACACCAATCTGTTACTCAACACCAAATGGTCAAGGTCAGGTGTGGTGCTGCATACCTTTAGTCCCAGTATTTAGGAAGCAGAGGCAGATCTCTGTGAGTTTGAGGCCAGCCTGCATAAAGAGTTCCAGGAGGCCGGGCGGTGGTGGCGCACGCCTTTGATCCCAGCACTTGGGAGGCAGAGGCAGGCGGATCTCTGTGAGTTCGAGGCCAGCCTGGTCTACAAGCGAGTTCCAGGAAAGGTGCAAAGCTACACAGAGAAACCCTGTCTTGAAAAACCAAAAAAAAAAAAAAAAAAAAAAAAAAAGTTCCAGGACAGCCAGGGCTACATAGAGAGACCCTGTCTCAAAACAAGCAAACAACAGAAAAACCAAATGGTCAGAATTGAAAACATACATACAAGTAACATTATACAGACTGAGCAAGTTGTATTTATGTATTTAGGAACACACACCACTACCACTGATCAAACATTGAGCCCTTACCTAGCATCATGTATGAGGTACTAGGTTTGATCCTAGTATTTCAAGCCAGAGGAAGAAAATAGGAAAATATAACTTAAAAATAGCATTTATCTATTTATGTGTTTATTTCTGTGCATCTGGAGAATCAAACCCAGGGATTGTGTATGCCAGGCAATGGCTTTACTCACCTGCACCTGCCCTAGACCCCAAATGGTTTTTACATGAATGGTGTCAGAGTTAAGTTTCCCTCCTAAAAACAATCTACCTTAATATATGTATATATATATACATACATATATATATATATATATATATATATATATTTAATTTTTTTTTTGGTTTTTCAAGACAGGGTTTCTCTGTGTAGTTTTGCGCCTTTCCTGGAACTCACTCTGTAGCCCAGGCTGGCCTTGAACTCACAGAGACCCGCCTGGCTCTGCCTCCCGAGTGTTGGGATTAAAGGTGTGCGCCACCACTGCCCGGCTATTTCTATCCACAGCCAGACTTGCTCCATAGTCTCAGCACAAACTGGAAGTCGTTCATTCATTTTAAAAGGTCTCTTGGGCACTCATTATGTATCAGGCACTGTTTGAGGCAGGAAGAATAGGTGATGGACAACCACCTCACCCCCACGAAATTATTCTTCTCATAGGGCTTGTTTCCTGGTGGGAAGAATAGAGACACATAAACAAGCCAGACGCTATAGCCTGTTTGGAGGTGACAGAAAAGTAAGTCAGGAAATAGAGTCAGAGGAGGGTTTTTTGTTTTGTTTTACAATTTTAAGTAAGGCCACCAGAGAAGCCCTCTGTGTGAAAGAGACTGGGGGATAAGGAACCTGACTCAAGGGAGGGAGGATCACATGCAGCATTCTAAGGGGAAAGAGCATTCTAAGCAGAAGGTGCAGGAGTCCTGAAGCAGAAGCCTGCCAGATATGTTCGAGCTGGGCCTTGAGTAGCAGGAACAGTCAGAGAGGGACTCAGGAGTGGAGGCCAGCGAGAGTGTGTGGTTGGATAACCAGATTATGCTGGGCCAGGGAGCCATCCTAAAGCTGCTCTTCTGAAATAGGCATCCACTGGGGAGTTTAAGCACAGATGTTTAAGACACTGATGGGTACTGTGTCACTTGTGCTGTGGAGACTAGACCAGGAGGCCCATCTGGAAGGGAGTCCAGGTAGGAAGTTATTATAAAAGGAGCCACCAAAAGTGATGGTGGCCTGCATCAGAAAGGTGGTGGATGTGTGGTAAGATTCTGGAAAAATCTAGAAAAGCTGATGTAGTAAGGGAGTCTATGAAAAGGGAGTCAAGAACTGCAAGGGTTTTTACACTGACTTGGAGATATGAGCTGCCTAGCATGCCTCTGGCCCTGCTTTCAATCCCCACTCTGGGGTTGGGGGCAGATTTTTGATGTAACAACTAGAGGGACATAGTTGCCATTTAGTAAATTGGGACCACTTTTAATAGAATATCTAAAGTTTGGATGTAGCCCTAGGTTTTAGATGCTGTCTTAGGGTTTCTATTGCTGTGAAGAGACACCATGACCACAGTAACTTTTTTTTTTTTTCCTGCAACTCTTATAAGGAAAGCATTTAATTGGGGCTGGCTTACAGTCCAGAGGTTTAGTCAGTTATCATCATGGCGGGAAGCATAGTGGTGTGCAGACAGACATAATGCTGGAAAAGGAGATGAGAGTTCTACATCTTGATCCACAGGAAGCAGGAAGAGATTGCCACACTGGGCAGGCGTGGCTTGAGCATCTGAGACCTCAAAGCATGCCCCCAGTGACACACCTCTCCTCCAACAATGCCACACTGTGGGAGCGTGCTGGGAGTCCAGCTCCAACCTACTCCTCCACCTAAGAACCCTTCTAAAGGTGGGAGCAGGTCGGAGCTGGACTCCCACACCACACCTACTCCAGCAAGGCCACACCTCCTAATAGTGCCACTCCCTATGGATCAAGCATTCAAACACAAGAGTCTGGGGGGGGGGCGAACCTATTCAAACCACCACAGATGCCTGGCAGACATCCAAGTGGCAGTGTGGACAGACAGACAGATACACATATGTGGGGCTAAGGGACTTCCCTGCTGGAGCCCTGAGAAATGCATACAGTGTCTCCTTGGGAACAGATCAGGGCAGGGGAGATGGCTCAGTGGAGAAAAGGATGCTTGCCTGACCCGAGCTCCTCAGAACAGACAGTAGAAGAGAACTGCCTGCTGAAAGTTGTTCTCCGACCTTCACACTCACACAGCAATGATCAATTTTAAAAATTAAAGTAACACAAGTATGAAGCAGATCAACTAGATAATGATAATGGAGAAAGTATGGGGGTGGGGGGTGGGGGTGGGGAAGGGGGCGGGGCGGCATGCGACCCTGAGGACTGAGTGTCTTGAAGTCCAGGCAAATGAGGAGAAACCAGTAAACTAACCGCCCGCAAGCAAAGGGATTAGGATAAATAACACAGAAAACAAGTCACAGCTTGAACTTGGGCAGTGTTCTCATACCACAGATTCCTTTTATTTTAAGGATATGTATTTAAAGATTTCTTACTCACTTTGTATTTCTGATACCCATTAAGAATTCACAGACATGTGGTTCTTAACAGAATCTGGCTATAACTTCCCAAACCAACCTTAGACTCCCCAGTGTTTGTTAGTTTCTTTACTTATCAGTAAGAATGATGATCATCTTGACTATGACATTCATGAGCATAACATGGAAGAGGTTGCTAATCACAAAACTAGGTCTCCTGGAATCATATTCGTTACACAGGATTCAGCTAAAAATAACTTCCAAGGTCCCATTGAGGCTGGATGAAAGAATCTAGCCCTCAATCTTTGGGAGAAAATGAAGAGAGATGGGAACAACGTGCTCAGAGTCTATTAGTTTAATTAAAGGAAGGCTGGAGAAAGTCCCTAGATAGATTATAATAATCACTGTTAGAAAGCAATCTCTCAAATGGCAGAGATATGGCTGGGGATGTTGTTGAGCTGGTAAGATAATTTGCCTAGTATGCACAATGTCCTAGGTTCCATTTCCATAAACCAGGCATGGTGGCTGTCCTGGCTAGTTTAATGTCAACTTGAAACAAGCTAAAGTCATCTGAGGAGGACACCTCAATTGAAAAAAAAAATGCCTCCATAAGATCAGGCTGCAGGCAAGCCTTAGGACATTTTCTTAATTAGTGATTGATGAGAGGGCCCAGCCTATTGTGGTTAGGGACACCCCTGGGCTGGTGGTCCTGGGTTCTATAAGAAAGCAGACTAAGCAAGCCATGAGGAACAAGCCAATAAATAACACTCCTCCATGACCTCTGCATCAGCCCATAATGGGCCCTCTCCCATCAATCTCTAAGAAGGTGCTCTATGGGCTTGCCAACAGCCTGATCTTATAGAAGCAGTTTCTCAGTTGAGGCTCCCTCCTCTCCAGTGACTCCAGCTTGTGTCAAGTTAACATAGAACTAGGCAGCACACTATCCCACTAATCCTCTTCCTCTTCCCAGCTAGCTGCCCTTCTGCTTTTCTGTATTTGTGCAAGTGATTCCGTGAGCTTCATTAGGGCTGTTTAAGGGAACATGAGCATCTTACCACGACACCACTGAAGAAACAGGTCTTTCCTTTCCTCCCATCAACTTTTAACTACCTGCAAAGTCCTCAGAGAGGAGTGGGGATCCATGAGGCCCTCCATTTTTATTCTTACATTTTTAGTAATGATGCATCTTAGCACAGTACTTTTTTGTTTGTTTGGTTTTGTTTTGTTTTTTTGAGACAGGGTTTCCCTGCACAACAGTCCTGACTGTCCTGAAACTCATTCTGTAGACCAGGTTGGCCTCAAACTCATAGACATCCACCTGCCTCTGCCTCCCGAGTGCTGAGATTAAAGGTGTATGCCACCACCACCCAGCTAGCACAGAACTTTTTTTTTCACTTTTTAAAAATTTATTTTTCTACTATCAGCTTGATACAGTATAAATTCTTATCCTAATTGTGAAATGTTTCACTGAGGCTTGCCCAGTGATTGAGTAAAACCAAAACTTATTATAAGCCACAGTCATCCTAGGGTCCCCCCTGCTATGTAGCCTCCCTGGTTCTGTGGGTTGCAGTCTGATTGTTCTTTGCTTTATATCTAGAATCCACTTATGAGTGAGTACATACCATGTTTGTCCTTCTGGGTTTGGGTTACCTCACTCAGGATGATTTTTTCCTAGTTCCATCCATTTGCCTGCAAATTTCATGCTGTCATTGTTTTTCTCTGCTGAGTAGTACTCCATTGTGTATATGAACCACATTTTCTTAATCCATTCTTCAGATGATGGGCATCGAGGTTGTTTCCAGGTTCTGGCTATTACAAATAGTAGCACAGTACTTTTTAAAAAAGTTCTTATTCTATGTGTATGAGTGTTTTTGCTCACATGTATGCATGTGTACTGTGAGTTTGCCTGGTACCCCCAGCAGCCAAGAGAGCACCAGATCACCTGAAACTGGAGTTATAGACAGCTGTGAACCACTCTGTGGGAGCTGGGAACAAGAACAAAGGCTCTTAATTATGGAGGCATCTCTCCAGCCCTCTAGTGCAAATAATTTTTGAAAGCAATTTAGTAGTATTGATGATGAACCACAAAATACTCTCATCAAAAATAGTCTAGCCACTATGGAAGTCAGTTTGTTGGTTTTTCCAAAATTAATCATCAATCATACAAATCACCAGGTGCACTCCTTTCAGAGAAATGAAAATTTGTATTTATACAAAAAGCTGCAAGTTTGTTCACAGCAACTTTATTCATAGTGTCCACAGACTAAACAACCCAGATGTCTTTCAAAGGATGGGCTAAATAAACCATAGATACTCAGCGGAAACAAAACAAACCAATGATACATACCACTTGGATAGTAGAAACAGAATTATGGCGATAAAAAAAGTAGCCACAAAAGCTGAGCATGATGGCACATTCCTTTAATTCTAGCGCTGGGGAGGCAGAGGCAGATGGATCTCTGTGAATTGGACGTCAAGCCTTGTCTCTATTGTGAATTTCAGTTCAGCCAGGGGTACATGGTAAGACCCTGTCTCAAGGACAACAAAGCAAGTCACATGAAATAACAAAATGAGACTGGGCAGTGGTGGTGCTTGTCTTTAATCCCAGCACTTGGGAGACAGGGCAGGTGGATCTCCGATTTAGAGGCCAGCTTGGTCTACAGAGTGAGTTCCAGGATAGCCTGGAAAAACCAAAAGAAAAAAAAAAAATGGAGACCAGATTAGTGGTGGGAGGAATGGGGGAAGAGAAGGTTCAGCAGTAGGGGGGAGGTTGTATCTAAAAGGGCAGCTACAGGGACTCCTGTCCTGTTGAAAACGTCTTGTACCATGACTGTAAAAATGTCAATATTCTGGTTTTGATATAAGTGCTAGATCTTACTATTGGGGGAACAAAGGAAACAGAACTTGGGCTCTGATGCAACATTGTCACCGTCACCATCATCCTCATTCATAATCATCATCCTATCAAATAGCATCTTGGGATTGGGGATTTAGCTCAGTGGTAGAGCGCTTAAGGCCCTAGGTTCAGTCCTCAGCTGGGGTGGGGGGTGGGGAGTAAAGGAAACAGCATCTCATTTTGTAGGCCTAGCTGGTCTGAACTCACAGACACTGGCCTGCTTTTGCCTCCCAAGTGCTGGGTTTACAGGCATGCACCAACATGCCTGCCTCTCCACATCATTTTTTCTTTCCTCTTTTTTTTTTTTAATAACTGCATATGTATGACTTCAAAACTTACTTTTAAAATGTACACATTCTCTTTCCTAGGGATATAATCTAAAAGAAAACAAACAAAAAGTTGAATGTATCAAATGTACACTACTGTTATTTACAAGGGAATACCCATATAAATGAAGTGCCCAATCAGGTAAATAGATAAACTGTACCCTTCCATTAATCATTTGACACCAACAGAGGATACAATATTGTAGCACAATATAACAGTGCATCACAAATATTTTAATGGAATTCTAGCAGGAATAGTTTCCTTCCCTAGAAATACATAACGTTGCTACAGTTTTTTATTCATATTGGGGGGGTCGGTGGGGGGTAAAATTAAAGAACATTTTTTTTTTTCCGGATTAAATTACAACCATCCATCACCATAAAAGTTTTTTTCAGCTGGGATTGGAGATGCACACCTGTAATCCCAGCACTGAGGGGGGTAGAGAGGCAGGACTACTTCGAGTTCGAAGCCAGCCCGGTCTACTTAAATTCCAGAACAGAGAGGGTTACAGTGTAGGGTCGTTTTAAAACAAGCAAAAAAAACAACCAACCAACCAACCAAACAAACAAACAAAACCCAACTCCCCAGACTTTGACCAAGCTGTCACGAGCCCAGGCAAGCCAAGCCAAGCCAAGCAGAGCTACTGGCTGCTCTGCCCCAGCTGCGTTCAAACGTGACACACCCCAGGACCCAAGAGGAGGGCAAGGGAAGGCGCTGGCGAGGAAAGGGCAAGACCGGAGGTACAGTGACCACTCCAAGGTCAATGCAGAGAAGCTGCAGCCAGCCTTGGCCTGAGGCTACTCTGTCCCCAGCCCCATCCCGAGCGGCGACCGCACTGCTCCCAGAAGCTAAGCAGTGGGGGTGGGACTCCACACACAGCAGGTAGGCGACCTTGGAGCCCCACCACCGACCCTGACGACCACGCCTCCACTCCCTTCCAAGGGTCGAGACACGCCCCCCCCCCCCCCCCCCCCCCCCCCCCCCCCCCGAGTCACATCCCGCCGCAGCTCACATTTCCATCCCTTTATCCTTTTTTCGCCCTCTCAACCCAGCTTTTCCCGACTCCGGGAAGAACCGGGAAGAGAAGGCGGAGGGCAGCGAGGCGCCGTCGGATAAATACTATGGTCCGGTCCCGCCCCTTTGATGTCACTTCCGCCCCAGGGCAAGATGGCAGCGCCCGGTCCCTGCCACGCAGACTTCCGCCCGGCGGGGAGAGCGGGCGCCCGTGGCGGGTCGTGTCGGAGGTGAGGTCGTTGACACTCGGCGCGGAGCCTCAGCGCAGGTGCGTCAGGCGGTCCCGGGAAGAGGGCCTGCGGCGGGAGGTGGGGCGCTCCGGGAAGCCTCGCCACGTGGGACGGGGAGGAGCTGAGGCGCAGCGAGAGCGACGCACGGCCGGGGGGCGGGGGGCCACGTGGGTGGGGTTCCGCCCCGGGTCCGCGCGTCCTGCCGGTGGAGTCACTTGGTTACCCATTTTCCTCCAGGAACCATGTCGGAAGGAAACTCTGCGGGCGAGCCCAGCAATCCTGGAGGGCCGCGACCCCTTCTCTCTGGGGGCCGGGGGCTGATCGGCCGACGGCCCGCACCCCCCCTTACGCCGGGCCGCCTTCCCTCCATTCGCTCCCGGGACCTCACTCTTGGCGGAGTCAAGAAGGTACCTGCGAGCTTGTTTGTACAGAAACCCAAATACCTTGAGTTCCAGGCCGTAGGGATGCAACTCCTGATGTTCTTGTAGGGCCTGCAGTGTCCCTGATGGCATGTTAACCTCTCGGGAGACCTTCAAGTCAAGGTGCTGGTACCAAATACGGAGATGGTTTCACGTGCAGTTAAAAGGCAGGGAACCTAGTTAATTCAGGACGTTCAGAAGGACTTCTTATGTTTGGACACCTTTAAAAATCCCACGGAAGTCAGGCAGCCGTAAGCTTTTCTGGCAGTTTTGAGTGTTCAGAACCCTGTGGATGCCGGTACCAAAACTAATAATCTAGTATGTGATGACTCATAGGCGTGACCTTAGCTGATCTTTGCCCTCTTCCATTATGTACAAAACTGTAGATGTAATGACTAGGTCTGAAAGGAAAAAGCAGAATGACACGGAATAAAGTCACTTAGCTTTGCCTTGGGTGATTCTGGGAATTGTCCACTGTGTCATCTGTTTGTGAGTGCTGACAGATCTCTTTCTAAGCCTTTCCAGAATTGTTTCCCCAGTGAAACTGACTGGGCCCTATAGCACTTTGAAAACACTACTGTATTTTACTTTTCAGAAAACCTTCACCCCAAATATCATCAGTCGGAAGATCAAGGAAGAGTAAGTAGCTAAGACTAATGAATACTTACCCAGTATTGCCATGAATTCGTAATTACGTGTGTGGCTCAGAAATTTTAATTTATGCCATTAGTGTATTCACTAATGGCTCTCCCTTTGTCCCAGGTTAGGTAGAGGCACATTTGTTTTTGAGACAGGGTCTCTACATGGCCCTGAATATCCTGGAACTCCCTCTGTAGACTAGCTGACCTAGAACTCACAGAAATCTGCTTGCCTCTGCCTCCTGAGTGCTGGGATTAAGGTGCGCACTACCATGCATGGCTCCAAGGCACTTTGTGTTAGAGGTTTTCTTCTTCTTCTTCTTCTTTTTTTTTTTTTTTTTTTTTTTTTTGGTTTTTCGAGACAGGGTTTCTCTGTGTAGCTTTGCACCTTTTCCTGGAACTCACTTGGTAGCCCAGGCTGGCCTCGAACTCACAGAGATCCGCCTGGCTCTGCCTCCCCGAGTGCTGGGATTAAAGGCGTGCGCCACCGCCCGGCTGTTTCTTTTTCTTTTTTAACTGTAATAAATAGCTGAGATAATTTATGGAGAGAAAAATCTCAAGGTTTTGGAGATTTTAGTCCATGATGGGGTGGTTCTTTCGCTCTGTGGTGTGGCAATGGACACATGGCAAAGAGTACCTGAGGGAAGAAAGAAGTGGAGGAGAGGAGAGGAAAAGGAAACTTCAGGGGCTGAACAGCCATCATCCAGAAGGTTCCAGGTCTTGTAGTTTAGGCCACCTTCCAATACTGCTAAGGTAGGGCTGAGCTCCTCACACTTTGTCTCTCAAGTTCCTCTTCGTCCGAGCCTTTCTGCTTTCAGGCAGTGAAAAACAAAACAAACCCCCACATTTTGGACAAGAAGGTAAAGTAAAGGGAAATGAAAGGCCTTGCCTTACGAAAGAAGGAAAGGCTCCAGCAAGGGATTAGGTTCCGCTTCCCCTGATGTACTTACTGCCTCACGAACTCTGCTCAGGTGGATGAAACGGGGTGGGCAAGGAGGGTTAGTTTTCTCAGGCAGACCCTTTTATCTGTTCTCATTTCCAGACCAAAGGAAGATGTAACCATGAAGAAGGAAAAGCGTGAGCGGGATAGAGACCGCCAACGTGAGGGTCACGGACGGGGGCGTGGCCGCCCGGAAGTGATCCAGTCCCATTCTATCTTCGAGCAGGGCCCTGCAGAAATGATGAAAAAAAAAGGTACCCAGAAGGGATCCGTTCTGGGTTTCAGTTCACACTGCCTGAGAAAGCAGAGCAATGGAATTCTCCATTCCCAATTTGGTTTTCCTTGCTGTGGCCATCTTCCTTATTTATCCCTAGTGAACAGGATGATTTCCCACAGGGAACTGGGATAAGACAGTGGATATGTCAGACATGGGACCTTCCCATATCATCAACATCAAAAAAGAGAAGAGAGAAACAGACGAAGAAACCAAGCAGATCCTGCGCATGCTGGAGAAGGATGATGTAGGTACCAGGAGTCTGGGGGACAGGTGGAGCAGGTTTTCTCAGACCCCCAGCCCCCAGCCCCCAAATCATGAATGGAGACTTCTTATTAGTTATGAATAACTAGTTTAGGCTTGCCCCCCTAGCTCTTATAATTTTTTTTTTCCTTTTTTTTCCCCCAAGAAAAGGTTTCTCTGTGTAACAGCTCTGGCTGTCCTGGGACTCATGCTATAGACCAGGCTGGCCTCGAACTCACAGAGATACACCTGCCTCTGCCTCCTGAGTGCTGGGATTACAGGCGTGTGCCGCCACCATCTGACTAGCTCTTATAACTTATATTAGCCTATTTCTTTTTCATCTACATTTTGCCTCAAGGCTTTTTACGGTTTTTTTGTTTTTTTTCTTTCATTCTGTATGTCCTACTTTTCCTGCATCCTCTGTGTCTGGCTCTCTGTCATCTCCCTCTGTTTCTGCCTCATTCTCTTCTCTCCCGAGTCTAGATTTCTCCTACTTATTCTCTCTGCCCACCAGCCCCACCTATCCCTCTACTGGCTGGCTATTGGCTGTTCAGCTTTTTATTAGACCAATCAGGTTTCCTAGGCAGGGAAAGCAACAAATGCAGCACATCTTAGCATAGTTAAAGTAATATTCCACAACAGACAGGCTTCTAGGGAGCCAGGGCAGGGAGTGCAGGGCTCGCTGGTGTGCTGGAGCTTTTGGTCACGTTCACGAAGGAAGGAAAAGAGATGGGTACTGGAGTGGACCGTGACCTGGGCATACATGCTGACGTTTATGTGACTCAACGTTTCGGCAGTTCATCGATGACCCCGGGCTCAAGAATGACACACGGAACACGCCAGTGCAGCTGCCACTGGCTCACTCAGGGTGGCTTTTTAAGGAGGAGAGTGAAGAGCCAGATGTGAAGAAGCCTTTATCAGCTGGCCCCAAGGAAGAAGACATGGAAGTGGATGTGCCTTCTGTAAAAGGTATCCTGTGTCGGCTCACTTCTGTCCCCCAGCGGTCCCCAGAAGCCCTCACATGACCTCCAAGACTGCTGCTCACATCGCCTCCTTTTCGTTCCCACTCAAGAGTATAGGCACAGAACAAAGACAGATTTAGATTCTCTCCTCAGAGTTGACATGTCATTGTATAGCAGTGCACTTGGCCTCAGCTGTCCCGTTTTAGAGAAGTCACACACCTCTTGAATTTCTTTCTTGCTCCTCTTTATAACTGGCAGCTCCAGCCTCCTGGCTGAGCAGTGGTGGGATACATGGGTGGGAAGGGTTGGGAACGGTGAGCTGGCGTGGTGGGTGGCCACTTGATGTCTTTTCCTTTATCTCACTTTGGGCAGTGAAAGAGGAGCCACGGGATGAGGAAGAGGAGGCCAAGGTGAAGGCCCCTCCCAAAACAGCCAGGAAGACCCCTGGTCTCCCGAAGGACGTGTCTGTGGCAGAGCTGCTCAGGGAATTGAGCCTCAGCAAGGACGAGGAGCTGCTCTTCTTTCAGCTGCCTGATAGCCTTCCTGGGCAGCCACCCACTCAGGACATCAAGCCTATCAAGACAGAGGTGCAGGGCGAGGATGGACAGATGGTAGTCATAAAGCAGGAGAAAGACCGGGTATGCTCAGGAGCGAGTTCGGGGGAAATTGCAGGCTGATCGCTCTGGGACACAGTCCTTGTTGCAGAGATTTCTGCTGCAGATGCATTTCTCTTTGGGAAACAGAGTGGGGTTCGTTCGTGAAAGTTGTTGCCGAGTGTCTGTCTCCTGCTTCTTTCCACAGGAAGCTAGGTTGGCAGAGAACGCTTGTACCTTGGCTGATCTGACAGAGGGTCAAGTCGGCAAGCTGCTCATCCGAAAATCGGGGAAGGTGCAGCTCCTCCTGGGCAAGGTGACCCTGGATGTGACCATGGGAACAACCTGCTCTTTCCTGCAGGTGAGACCCTGGGAGTCAGGGAGAGGCTTCGGGAAGTACTAAGTGGCCTGTGCTGAAGCAGTGAGGGGGACTCTTGGGTACCAGGACCGAGGGCTGAGTTGGGTGTGTGGTTCTCACTGATGTCTCCGTTGAATGGCAGGAACTGGTGTCTGTGGGCCTTGGCGACAGCAGGACAGGGGAGATGACAGTCCTGGGGCATGTGAAGCACAAGCTTGTGTGTTCTCCCGATTTTGAATCCCTTTTGGATCACAGACACCGGTGAAGTGAACAGATGGAGGAGGAAGGTGACTGCCCACGGCTGCTGCCTGCTCCAGACGTTTTGTTCTCAAAGCCATGCAGCCCAGAAGGGACCCGCTTAGCCCACCCACTGCAGCCTTTGGCGGCTGTGGTTCCAGTTTCTCCCGATTAGAGCCCATGCTGCAGCCCCCACCCCACCCCCAGCAGCTGTGAATGGCACAGTGACCTTCCCACAGCATGAGTATGGAAGGGACATCCTCACTGCTGGGACTTGACCCTGCTATTTATTTTTTATTTATGTCTTAATCCCCACAACTGACTGCATCCTCCCAAGGTAGGATGGGGCAGACTTCTTGTTGGGGAGCCATGGGCTATGGGGATAGGAAGGGGAGGGGTTCCAGCAGGTAGGAAAGACTAGGGGTAGAGTTTGAGACTTGAGACTCAGTTCCAGCTCACTGGTTTCTGGTTCTGTGTTTTTGAACACACTGCCTAACCTTTCTGAGCCTCATATTCCTCCTCCGACAAACAGGAGGATAACACCTACCTCACAGGTTGGTGTGAGGATCAAATGGAATATTGTAGCTGAGAACTCCTTGCACAAGGCCAGGCATACATGATATATATATATGTGCCCCCAATAAATGTTAGTTTCCTTTTCCTTTGTTTGAGTCATTTCATTTACTAAACTAAACAAATGAACATTATACTCTCAAGAAGTAACTGTTTCTGCTCACATCCCTACTTTTTTTTTTGAGACAGGGTTTCTCTGTATAGCTTTGGAATCTGTCCTGGATCTTGCTTTGTAGACCAGGCTGGCCTCGAACTCACAGAGATCCACCTGCCTCTGCCTCCCGAGTGCTGGGATTAAAGGCATGCGCCACCACGCCCAGCTCACATCCCTACTTTTGTGACTTCATTGCTTTTTAAATTTTTTTTTTTTTTTTTTTTTTTTTTTTTGTTCTTTGGTGCTGAGCCTGGGACCTGGAGCATGCTAGGTAAGTGCACTAGCCGCAATGCCCAGCCCTCATCCATCCTTACTGTGCATCATCCCATTCCCACCCTGGGCTGATGGAGTGAGTGTTCATGTCAGCTCTTCTGGACCTTTCATCTTTACTGTCTTAGCCATCTGCTTCCTGTTGGACTTTCTGCTGGAAGAAGTTAGAGGCCCCTTTAGGTGGTGAAGTGGGCTGAGGCCTACTTTCCTGCAATGAGTGGCCAGTAGATTAACTTCTATAAAGATATTTCTCAAAAGAAATGTCTGGTGCCACAGAATTCCCACTACTACATCCAGTAGTAATAAAATAACAGAATAGGCCTGGCGGTGGTGGCGCATGCCTTTAATCCCAGCACTCGGGAGGCAGAGGCAGGTGGATCTCTGTGATTCGAGTCCAGCCTGGTCTACAGAGTGAGATCCAGGACAGGCACCAAAAGTACACGGAGAAACCCTGTCTCGAAAAACCAAAAAAATAAAATAAAAAAAAATAAATAACAACAAGCTTGGTGGATTGGGCTTTAGAAGGCTGGCGTTGGAGAAGTTCCCTCTGCCTCCTAACATCACCAGGTGTGCTGCTCAGCACGTCCTGTCTGCTTCCCGCTGACGTTCTTAGTGCTGCCTGTCACCTTGCTTGCTTTGTGGGATCATTGTGCTGTGTGTGGTGTTACCTTGCTTCCTTTGTGGGATCAGAAGAACATGGCTTTCTTCCTTGTCAGTAGGCCTGAGGCGTTTTCAAGTTGGAGCTCTGCTCTGCTGATATCTTAGCGTGTAACATCTATACTGATGAACTCCAGACTCAGTGAGGACTGCCAGCTTGCCTCTGTCCTTCTGCAGTCTGGTTTGTTGAGCACCACTGGGGCTTTTCCTGCAGAGCCTCTCAGGCTGCCCAGCCAGTGGTGTGAAGAGATTGAACCTTTAGTGACACCATTGTCCTGGAACCAAAAGCTCATACCCATCCTGTTGGGTCGTGGATTAGTCTTCATGGAGAATGGGAGGGAAGGGTTCCTTGGGAGCGTGTGCCATGGGAATCCAGTCTGGTCTAAGGCAGCTTTGATTAGCTCTGGGCTCCAGGCCTTTGTGCTTTTAAATAGCTGATGTACTGCCCTTGCGTCTCTGTGGGATCCCCTCGTTGTGATTCAGAGCCCTCCTCCTTTTTTTGGAGTAACCTTGTGTCTTTAGATGTTAGCTATTTTGCAATCCATAGTTCTTTGAGAATTTTTTTTTTTTTTTTAATTGAGACAATTTCTCTATATAGCTCAGTCTGGCCTCAAACTTTCAACCCTGCCTGAGTGCTTTAATTGCAGGCCTGCAACAACCATGGGCAGAAACCTTTGAGTTCTTTGAGTCCTCCAAGAAGAGCGTGTAGCACCTGTGCACTCCACGTTTAAAATGCCGTACCAGTGCGGCTTACGACTGTGGGTTCTCACCGCCTGTCTCTAGGTTCCAGACGCACGAGTTAGCGAGCCCATCGGCACCGGGCTGGGGAGAGAGGCAAGTCTGCTCTCTTGGCTGAGCCTCCGAAGCAAAGCATCCATCTCTACCAGCAAACATGTGCAAATAACGGGGAGTGGGAAGGCAGTTCATACAAGGGTGCAAATGAATGCAAATGTATTACTACCTGCATCTGTGTGTGTGTAGATTGTGTTAGAAACAGAGAGAATGATAGACTTGTTCATTTCCTGGTGTAAGCGACTGTGTAGACTTCAGTCAGGCCTGGGATTGCCTTCAACTCCACAAGTATCCTTGGGGAGAAAAAAAAATCACTTGTCCTCACTCAGTTTATTTTACTTAATTTTTTAAAAGATGACTGTGGTTGCCATAGCTGTTCTTGTATATAGTGTTACTTTTTTTAATTAAAAGGATTTCTTTGTGTGAGTTGGGGGCTCCTAACATGTGGAGGTCAGAAGACATCTTTAGGAGTCAGCTCTCAACTTTCTACCCTGTTGATACAGGATCTCTTGTTTCTGCCTTTTGTTTTTGTTTTGTTTTTTGTTTTTCTTTCTTTCTTTCTTTCTTTTTTTTTTTTTTGTATTCTTGGCTGTCTGGAACTCAATTTGTAGACCAGGCTGGCCTTGAATTCACAGTGATTGACCTGCCCCAGCCTCCCAAGTGCAGGGATTAAAGGTGTGCACCACCACAGTCCTGCCCTGCTGCTGCTGCTTTAAGCATGGGTTCCAGGGATGGGATTCAGGTCATCAAGTGCAGCAAGTACTTTTACCCAGCTCCCTAGTTTGCTTTTAATTTATTAAAAAAGACATATGTGTACCAAGTGCATGCCTGGTGTCTGCGGAGGTCAGAGGAGGGCGTCAGATTTCCTGGAGCTTGAGTTGTGGGTGGTTGTGAGCCACCACATGGGTGTTGGGGACCAAACCCAGGTCTACAGCAAGAATAAGTGCTCTTCATCTCTGGGCTGTCTCTCCAGTCCTCCTCCCCCCACCATGTTGCTTTTAAATTAGAATGAAAGTAAAGAATTTATTGAGTATGAGATAGGTAGGTCCCAGAAGCAGACACTGTGATCAGCAAGACTTAACTAAGCCAGTCTATTCATAATCATAAGAAGGCATGGAACCCTCCTATGGTTTCTGCACTCTTTCCCAGCCTCCTGAGTTACCCACTTCGGCTACACAGACCTTGCTGCCATGTCGCACGGTGGGTAGGCTGCACCTTTTTTTCCGTGTCTTTCCCCCAGGGTTAGGGTCAACTTTTCCCCAGGTGTTTGGAGGTCTTATTTCTGAAATCCTTTGGTTCTCTGAGACTCCCGAGCCGCTCTACATAAACCAGCAAACTCAAGTGTGGTGCTCTCCTCTTGTTGCCGGCCCTTAGGATGCTGCAGCCAGAGGGTGTGCGACTGAGACTAGCCAAGTCCCAGGTAAATCTAGGGCTACACGGCAAGGCTTTATTTAAAAAAAACAGAAAATTCACATTCCCGGTGCTTTTTACTCCTCTTCCCTGCCTCCCTTCTCTCTACGGCATTTGTCGCCCGTGATACTTTGACTTTTTATCTGATATCCCTATTAGAATATGACTGTAGAGCACAGATGAATTCTTGTACATAAGCGATATTTTAGTACATAAAATAGTTTCTTGAATGTAGCAGGCAGCCAGTAGTTCTGGTTGAAAGACTCAAGAAATTAACTATCATGTGCAAATTGCATGTGTTCTAGTCAACACCTACATTTCTAAGCAAATGTGTGAGAAAATTGATCCAGCTGTAACCTCCCTCCCTCTTCCAGGAAGAAGAAAGGGTCAGGCTAACCCTGTGGGTTGAGCTTTGTACTGCTTTGTGGTTTTCCCTTGTGGGTGTACAAACAGTACTCTTTTCCACTAATGTGTCACACGTACTCATAAATGTCAAAGGAATCATGGCAGGTGGAAGTTGCTTTGTACAGACTTGGTGCTTGCATCTTTGGGACCCCCACAACCCTAATGGTTGCCATGAGATAACTGTCTTTGGCCCTTGGCTGATTATAGCATGATTAATGGAAATGGCCTCCATAGGGTGGTGGTTCTCTGGTGGGTTGGGATTCTGCTGCTCCTGTGATGGGGAATACTACATGTCTTTTTTGTCTTTGGAAATGGGTAGTTTTTTTCATGTAACTCAGATTTGCTTTGAACTTCTATATAGAAGAAGCTGGCCTTGAACTCCTGATCTTCCTCACTTTGTCTCAGCTGGGATTAGAGGCATGTACCAGCACACCCAGCGGACATAACCGTTTTGAAAAACAACTCTTAAGATTGCTTCTAGGTTCTCATTAAAATTGAACACCTGGGGTAGGGGTGGTGGTGATGTGCCTCAATGGGTAAAGGACCTGTTATCCAGCCTCATGTCTAAGTAGGGACCTGTCTTTATGGTGGAAGGAGAGAGAACCAATTGTATAGTTCTCCGACCTCCACACGTGCCATGGCATATGCACACATATACATACATACATCATACATAAATAATTAAAAAAAAACACTTGGCAGAGTGTCCCAACTTGTACTTGTCAAGGCCTCATGACAGATGTTCCCCTTTTGAGGTGGGCTAACTCAGATTCAACATCTAGCAAGGGCCTAGCCCAGCCTTTCATGTCACAGTACTACAGTGTATTGCAGTATGCTGGCCTGGCATTCAGCTCTGTTGATATGGGGGGGCTGGGAGGAGGGACAGCAGTTCTCCCTTTGGTAAAATTTATCCTCTGCTCCACAGCCCAAAGCAAAGCCTCTGGCTCATGAAGCTCCCAGTTCACAGAGGTGTCCTAACATGCCAGACCCTGCTTCACTGATGTTTGCTAAGCTGACTCCAGCGGTGTTCCCAAGGGCTGTTATGGCAGCGTTCTCCCCAGATGTGTGGAATGGAAAATGGATGTGTTTGCTCCACTCAGTGGACAGCATTCAAAGCTTTTCTCATAGCACTGGCCAATACTATTTTTACTGACTCCGACTCCTGACAATAGCCTATCTGTTTGGTTTGCCATTTGGAAAACTACAGACTGGCAGGTTAGAGATTTCCCTTTTTGGAACCATGAAACATGGTTAGAAGCTGATAGAAACAGTTGGGTCAATCATGTAGATGCCCATAGTGAAGGTTCATTCTCTAATGAACCAACTGAAATTGGCATGGGCTGAAGCTGTACCTCTCAGGTTGCCACCTTTGGTACTTGGATCTTTGTGTCCTAGACTTGGCAGCACACCCATCACCACAGACTGAGCACCAGCTAAAGGACCCATGTTTCACATGCACAGGCTGCTACTGCACAGACCCAACCACAACTAATAAAAGTTCAACTATCAACTAGGCATGGTAGCGTTTATACCTGTAAATCCAAGCACTAAGGAGTCTGAGGACAGGAGGATTCCTGCAAGTTGAAGGCCAGCCTGGGCTACATAGTTCCAGGCCAGGTTTTGGATATAATGCAACTCTATAAAAATCCAAAATAGAAAAAGAAGAGGCAGGCTGTAGTTGGTAGGACCACTTGACTTGCATGAACAAAGCCCTGATTTTGATTCCCAACACTTTGTAAACAGTGTGATAGTACATGCCTATAATGCCTGCACTCTGGAGGTGGAGGGGTAGGAGGATCAGAAGTTCAAGGTTAGCCTTAAACTTAAGGCCAGTCTAGAATACGTGAGATCAAATAAATAAATACATAAATACATAAACTGTCTCTTGTAAGGGAGACACGGCACAGCATGAGGCCCTTGAACTTTTCTGTGTCAGCTTTCATTGGCCGTGACAAGTATTCAGCAGAAACAGTTGGAAGGAACTTAAAAGATCACAGTCCAGGTCAGCTGACTCCGTTGTTTCTGGATGTGTAGTTTGGGAGAATGTCACAGTGAGAAGATGTAGTGGAGCAGAGGAGCCCACTCATGGCAGAGGAGAAGCAGAGTCAGGAAGGGACTAGGAGAAGGTGTGCTTTTTATTTCTTTAGACTATTTACTTACTTTTTGTATGTGAGTGTTTTGCCTGCATGTATTTAAGTGCACCATGTGCATGTCTGGTACTTAAGGGAGTCCAGAGAGGATGCCAGATCCCCTGGAACTTGAGTTACAGACAGCTGTGATTTGTATGGGTGTTAGGAATCAAACCCTGAATCCTCTGCAGGAGCAACAAGTGCTCTTAGCTGCAGAGTCTTCTTGCCAGCTCCAAGACACACCCCCAATGGCCATCTTCCTCCAACTAGGCTCTTCCTCCCAAGCCTCCAGCACCTCCCAGTAGGGCTGTTGAATTATGAATCCATCAACATATTTGCCTACTATTAATGAAGTCAGACCCTTTATATGTTCAATTCCAAAAATCCCTATCAGCTGACAAACTTTTTTGGTTTTTTTTGTTTGTTTATTTGGTTGGTTGGTTTTTCGAAATAGGGTTTCTCTGTGTAACAGCTCTGGCTGTCCTGGAATACACTTTGTAGACCAGGCTGGCCTCCAACTCACAGAGAGCCGCCTGCCTCTGCCTCCCAAGTGCTGAGATTAAAGGCCAAACCTTTTTTAAAACAAATGAACCTTTGGCTTTGGTGGGAGGGGGGCGTCATTTCATATTAAAACCATAATACCGTGATATCACCCAACCTTTGACACTCTAAAGGCTGCTAGCTCACTGCTGTGGGCCCCTTTTTCAGGTTCTGTCCTTGCTGCCCCAGTTTAGTGAGGTGACTGAGACACCCCACTGTGGCTCTTGAAAAGAATCTTAACTATGGTTTCCAACTTTGTAGACGTTTTTCAGCCAAACAAAGACAGCTTGTTCTGGCAGTAGGCTCTCTAGCCTTTCAAGGTTGTGAGAGAACACTGCTCACTACACACAGACGTTTGGTACTGTGGAGCAAAGAAATGGCCGCCTCAGAATTCAACTCAAATCGGTTTCTGACTCTACCTTTGATTTTGTTTGAATGTCCCTTTGAAAACTCATGATGACATTTAACTATCACTGGAACAGCACTGGGAAATGGGGAGCCATAAGAGGTGATGAAGTCACCAAGACTCCACTCTCAGATTCATGCTGTTACCAAGGGTAGGACCTAAGAGCCCACAATAGTGAGCTAGTAGAACCCAAGAGGGTGTCAAAGATTGGATGATATGGTTTTAATATGAATGAGGCCCCCCGCCCTCCCCACCCCCCGCAAAGATTTCCTTTGTTTTATAAAAAGTTTGTCAGCTCATAGAGTTTTTTTGGTATTAGATAATAAGGGCTCTGACTCCATTAATAATAGGTTAAGTATGTTAATGGATTCATAAAAGGGAGCGCTCTCTTCTCTCTCTCTCTCTCTCTCTCTCTCTCTCTCTCTCTCTCTCTCTCGTGTGTGTGTGTGTGTGTGTGTGTGTGTGTGTGTGTGTGTTTAGTTCCTGGCTCTCCCTGTCTTATCTCGTGTGTTGGATGTGATGTCTTTCACTGTGTTAAGATGGAGCAGGCAGACTCTCACCATACACTGCCCTTCAATTTTGGACATTCACCCTCCAGAACTGTGAGAAGTAAATTGATTTCCCTTGCAAATTGCCCAGCTGTAGGTATTGAGCTAAGTAGACTAAGATAATATCAACTTCCCTTTTGGGGATCCACATAGCTAGTATCTTAGTGGTTTGTTGTTTCTGTAGAACAGTGTCTGGACTGAAGGGGAGTGGCTTATTTTGGCTTACAGTTCTGGGGTTTCTATGGAGGTCCACTGAGGCAGATAATTGGGGGTAAAGTTGACCTGTGAATAGAGGCATATGTGTAAGAGAAACCAAGAGGACACCAGGCTTGCTTTATGAAGTTGAAAAAAACTACACCACTTGAGAAACTGAGAGTGTATTAATGGGCTATTCAACTAGCCATATTAGAAATCAGATTTCTTTGTTTAATTTTTTATATTACATCTAGTGTTTGGGGTGCACTCATGCCCCAGCACACATGTGGGAGGCCGGAAGACAGCTTGTGAGAGTCACTTCTCTCCTTCTCCCACGTGGGTCCTTGGGGTCTGTTAGGCTTAGGTGTAAGTGGTTCTACCCACTGAGCCATCTCACCAATCCAGAAGTCAAATTGGAAGATGAGATTTTATGGGGACAAATCATATCGAAGCTACAGCAAGCAAGACATTTGGGTTACTGGCAAGGGCTGGCTCTTTTTTTAATGATTTTCTGGGTTCTAATCAGGATGAAGAGGGGAGCTGGAAAGGCGGGAGCGCGACAAGAACCAATGGGATAACTGTAGTCCAGCAGCTGGCAGGCTTGAGACCCAGGAAGACCATGTGTTTCTGCTTGCATCTGAAGGCAGGAGAAAGCTGATACCCCAGTTTGAAGGCTGTTAAAACAGGAGAACATTTTTAGTTGAGGGAAATTCAGCCTTTACGTTCTGTCAGGCCTTTAATAGAGTGGGTAAGCTGGGCCGAATTAGGGCAGGGCATTCTGGCTTACTATTTCTTCTCCTCCCTCCTCCTCCTCCTCTTTCCTCCTCCTCCTCCTCCTCCTCCTCCTCTTCTTCCTCCTCCTCTTCCTCCTCCTCCGTCTTCCTCTTCTTCTTCCTCTTCTTCTTTCTTCCTCCTCCTCCTTCTTCCTCCTCCTCTTCCTCCCTTTTTTTCCTCCTCCTCCTCTTGGTGAAAAGGTTTTTAAAATGTGTTGCATTTATTTATGTGTGCATGTGGATGGGCCACCTGTCATGGTAGGCATGTAAAGGTCAGAGAACAACTTTCAGGAATCTGCCTCACCTTGCATCATTGACACCTCCTCCCCCATTTTATGTGTATGGGTGCTTTGCCTGCATGTATGTCTGCGTACCACGTGTGTGCAGTTTCCAGGAAGACTAGAAGTGCCAGAAGAGGGTGTCTGTCATGTCCTCTGGACGAGCAGCCAGTGCTTTTAGCCATGAGCTGTCTCTCTAGCTCTGATTCCACCTTTTGGGTTCTGGTGGTTGAACTTGGGTCATCAGTCTTGGCTGCAGTAGTTGCCTTTACCAGATTGAGTCAGCTTGCTGGCCCCAAATAGGTTCTCTGTTGTAGAATATTATTTTAAGCTGTGTTGCATTTGTTTATGCTGTGGAACATTTGTTTAATGATGCAAAAGATGTGTTGCATTCTTGATGTTGCATTTTTGTAACTCTGTGAAGCTGTGTTATTTTGCCTGTCTAAAACACCTGGTGGTCTAATAAAGAGCTGACTGGCCAATAGGAGGCAGGAGAAAGGATAGGTGGGGCTGGCAGGCAGAGAGAATAAATAGAAGGAGAGAACGAGGAGAACAAGGAGAGGAGGATGCTAGGGGCCAGCCACATAGCCATGCAGCCACACAGCCAGCCATGGAGTTAAGAGTGAAAGCAAAATATACAGAAGAAAGAAAAGGAAAAAGCCCAGAGGCAAAAGGTAGACAGAATAATTTAAGTTAGAAAAGTGGCAAGAAACAAGCCAAACTAAGGCTGGGTATTCATAAGGAGAGAAGAAGCCTCTGTGTGTGATTTATTTGGGAGCTGGGTGGTGGGACCCGAAAAGAGAAAAAAAAACCAACAACAGTTTTCTTAATTTTATTTTAGAGACAGGGTCTTGCTGTTAAACCCATATTGGCCTTGAACTGGAGATCCCCTCGCATCCCCCATGCGTAAGGAATGCAGTTATGTGGCACCCACCACCCCCCCCTTGCTGGTCCATTCAAATCTCTTGCCCAGTTTTGGATTTTGTTGTTGTCTCTTAATGCTTTGTGTTTTTATTCTTTTGTATGGACTCATATTTACTAACACCTTTTATGGGGGAGCTTTGGGGACCAGGTTATGGGTGTGTTTCTCCTGGGAAAGACTTGTATTTACTTCTGCCTAAGGTATTGAAGTCATATGTCTACTTTAAATGGAATCTCCCTGTTCTTTTCTGGGCCAGAGGGGTAATGTAATTCCCTGTGCTCAGTCTTGCTGTGGTTTTGTGATTTTATTTTCTGAAGAACAACAGTAAAGTCAGAATCCATGGTTCTTACGGGCCACATTATTTTGAAGCCATGAATGTTTAGGAAAAGCCGTACCATATATACTTATGGACCCATTTTTATCCCTAGGTTCTAAAGCCTGATGGAGTTATGACTTTTCTGAGTTAAAAAATATATATCAGCTGTCATTTAATTCAGAATACTTTATTTCAGGACAATATGTGTGTGCTATTTGGACAAGTCAGTCACTGTGTATATTTATGGGGATATAATGTGATGTTTTATTGTTTTTCATTGTAGAATGACTACAGTAAATTAAATATATTCTTACCTCAAGCACCCCTACCCTCTCTGTGGGCATGCACCTGAAAGATAGTGTGTGCTTTGTAAGAGTTATTTTGGAGAGGTGCTGGGGATTGTAGCCAGGGCCTTGATACACTAGACAAGTGCTGTATTTGTGTGTGCCTTTTAAATTTGCTACCCTGAACATGACACATTAATTATTAACTTTAGTGCCCCAACAGGGAATATAAACCGCAAGAGATAGTGCTTAGCTCTGGAAAGAATCTTAACAAATGCTGATGGTTCCAATGTTTCCCATCTTTATCTCCAATCAACACTAAGATTGTGTGGGTTTTTCTTTCGGTGCAACAGTACTCAACGGTGTATGGATTACTTGCAAGCACTGTACTGAAGCCATCTACTCTTGGTTCAACACCGAAAAGCTAAGGAACCCAATCTACATCCTTTGTAATGAAAGCAGCTTGTTTGGGGTACAATCCGGTGTGCTCAAAGAACTGCTGTTGTCACACTTCATCTGGAAGACTCTGAATCCTTTCCCTAAGCAACAGTGCATTGAGTGGATCTTTCATGAAAGCTTTGGTCAGTGTTCCAAACGGGATAGGGAGCTGCGACTTCATTAGGATTGGAGAACAGTTTGTTTTCCCCCCACTGTGGTGGCTTTGGTGAGCCCCTCAGTCCTGCACAAGGCAAGCGCTCTACCACTGAGCTACAGCCCTGTATCAAGCTTTGTTATTTACCACCTACCACTTACAGCCTTTAAGCTGGGAGGACAGAGCAGGTCACTGTCAACATGAACCTATTACCTAAATTTGTTTACAGGAGCAGTCCACTGAAAGGGATTCAGGACCACCCACGCCCCCAACACACTTTAAAGCTACCCCCAAAACTTCCAGCACCCGTTTGAGATCAACCTCCACACAGCTAAGACCGCTTGAAAGGGCAAGCCAATGAGGTGGTGAAGCCTTATGAGCGGCATGTTGTCTGGCCAATGGGCTGAGCTTCTGGGCTAGGGAGACCCGGAAATCAGGACTTGGGGCACGTGGCTTATTTTAAGTGGCCGGTCGGGTGGTGAAGGTGGTGTTCTTCCAAGGCATCGTGCTTCAGGGCCCTGACGACTCGAGGCCAGGTGAGAGGACAGAGTCAGATGCGGACAGCCAGGAGGGTCAAGGCGCCCTGGGGCAGGCTTGATGGGCCTTGGCTCAAGCTCCTGGTGGTGCGCAGGGCGCTCTCGGGCAGGGCCCGCCCCTTGGGCTAGCTCCTACCCCACGCCCCTCCCCCATCAGCACGAGGTGGTGTGGGCGGCGGGCAGGGCGGGGGGCAGGGCGGGCTAGAATTCGTTATTCCAGGCCGAGTGTGTGGGAGGAACGCAGTGCCTGGAATAGGAGGGAAGAAAGGTGCCTCGAGGAGGAAGGGCGCCCGCGGCTCGGGGTTCAGTGGCACAAGACCTACCAAGAAGTCTAGGCAAGGCGCGGCTGGCCACAGTCCAGCTGGTCGAGAGGTATTTTGCTCTTGTGGCCCCCGGGTGGCATTCACTTAGAAGGACTTGGCCTCGGGTTGGGTTTGAGGCCTAGTGCCCCAGCCCAAAGGGCACACACGTGGAGAAGCAGAAGGGCCTGGTCCAGGATCCTTCACTGGCCAGTGTGGGAGAACCAACCTGAAGGAAGGACCTTCTGGAAGAGGAGCACGGGTCTGTGTATGTGTTCATAGAAAGGTAAAAAGGAACCCAGAGGTCTGTATTATAGCATCACTTCCTATATACCAGTTAGACAGCTGACTTTCAGATTCTTAGGTGAGGCTAGGGTGGTGTGGCAAAAAGTGCAGGCTACTAAGGAGCGGGTTTAGCAAACACAGGGCAGAACTGCTGTAGTCGTTGATGATGGAAGGCCTTAGTAGCTTTTATAGTATACCAGAGACAGTACTTCAGCTCAAAGGATTTTGGAAGCTCTTAAAAGCTACTTCCATCTGGACCAGCACTGAGGAGTAGAGTGTCTTATCTTCTTTCTACATGTGGCTGGATTTCTCTGTAGCTAATAGTGCAGGCAGGTTTTCAAAAGCTCAGAAAAGGTTCCTGAGGTTGGAGTGTAGCTCAGTGGTCTAAGGAATGCTTAACGTGCATAAGGCCTTGGGTTTGATCCCCAGCACAGGAGGGAAAAAAGGAAGAAAGGAAAAAATTCTTCAAGGATCAGGAACAGGTCAGGACAATGAAAGAAGCCCTTACAGAGTGAGTCTTGAAATCTGTAAATTATAAAATGATTTTGAAGAGGCCTGGTAGGTTTGAGATAGGCTCAGGGGCTCATCCCTCCTTAGTTGGGGAGGGAAGGAATTAAATGGAGCCTGGGAGAGTCAGCAGGTAGTATGGGCTCAAAGCAGGAAGGTTTTGTTCCCTGGAGACCTCAGTCCTGCTGGTGTTTGAAAAAAACTGGATAAAGATTCAGAAAAGCAACTAAACCCAACAGAGTAGAGTAGAATGCAGTTATAGATTGGGTGGTAGGGGGAGCTGACATAGGAGAAAAACAAAGCAAAAATCATACATAGTTGTTGACAATAATTTTATGGTATAGAGGTATTAACCACAACCAAAATCATCCCCATACATAAAAAATGTTGTTTTCTGCAATAGGTGGTTAATTGGTGGACAGTTTCCAGGGAGGCTGTTTAGATAGACAAACTCAAGGAAGGCTTTAGTTAGTGGAGGTGCTTAGAATGTTCTTAGCTCAAATAGGAGCCTTAATGAGACGTGGGAACTTACTCCTGTAATCCCAGCACACAGAAAGATTGCAAGTTCAAGGCCTGCCTGAACTACACAGCAAGACCCTTTCTTAAAAATAAGAGGTGTGATGGCACATGCCTGTTTTCCCAGCACTTGGTAGCTTGAGTCAGGAGGATTGTCAAGCATTCAAGGGCAGGCAGAGCTACACAGCAAGACCCTGCCTCTAAAGAAAATTTTTTTGTTTTTGTTTTTTGAGACAGGGTTTCTCTCTATAGCCCTCAATGTCCTGGAACTCACTGTAGACCAGGCTGACCCCAGAACTCACAGAGATCCGCCTGCCTCTGCCTCCCAAGTGCTGGGATTAAAGGCGTGCATCACTCACTGCCTCCCGGTGAAAAAAATTTTTAATTTAAAAAAGAAACCTTTGAAGTGAATCTGTTACAGGAGACTGGTGCTGTCACTAATCTGACTTCTTTTGGAGGAAAGAAAAGGCAAGCAGTGAGAATTTAATTTTTTTTTTAGTTTTTTGAGGATATTATACCTATGTGTTATGATTGTACTCGTTCCTTCTCCAAAATTCTTCCCAGAACTACCCCCCTTCCCTACCTGCCCAACCTGTGTTCTGTTTTCTTTTTTTAAAACACCCATCAAATCCAATTTGTGTGACCCATATACTCCTGGATGTGTGGCCTTTTCCTGGAGTATGGTCAGTTTACTAGAGGCTATAATGCTGAAGAAAAATGACCACTCCCTACCCCACCCCCAGCTATCAATTGCCAATAGCTCTTTGGCTAGGGATGGGACTTCGTGTCCACTTACCCTCCATGCTGGGAGCTGATATGGCTTGAGCAGTAACTACTTTCTAATTGCATGTAAGTTCCACTGCACAAGATGAAAGCCATCCCTGGCACCGTTTGTCGGGCCAAGAACATGTGACTAGACAGATCCTAGGCCGTAGGGTAGATTCTTGTTACTGTCATTCTGCTTAATGGACATAGAATTGAACAGACTCCTAATGACTTATTACACCCATGGATTAATACATCTCTCAACTCTCATCAGAAAAGCTTCTATTTACAATAGATGGTGTATCTTTAATCCTTTGAAAATGCTGGCAGGTAATTAATCAGAAGAGAATCAACAGTCATTTCTACAGTCTCTTGATGGATCCTGTTCGGCCATTGTTCAGGGGGCCCACCCCTGTCCATCCATCTCAGTGTGTTCGGATGCCAGGCTGTTGGCCACAAGCTCCTAGACCTTTGGACTCAGCCTTTGGTAGGGCAGGACCTACAGGCAGAGGCCTTGTCTTTAGAAAGCCAGAGGAATCCAGCCCACAGCTCCAGCCAGTACAAAAGGTAAGACCACTTCAGAGGGCTTAGGAAACTAGAATGCTTCTATAAAATCAAGGGCTGTTATTTTTGTTTTGTTTGTTTTTGACAAGTAGTTGCATCTTGAGGTCGTACAATTCAAGTCCTAGAGAAAGTGCCTGAAAATAAGCCTGAAAATAAATGGACTTGGGTGCCTTAGGCTGTTCCTAGCTTCAGTCCTCTATCCTCCCATTTCTTCATATTGTCTTCATCCTTTCATATATAGTTGAGTTTAAATACAACTGACTGCTGCTTCTGAGTGTTCAGATTCTACTCTGATTAGCTTTGTAGTGTTGGCAACAACTCTTCCCTCTGAGGTAATAATTGTTCAGTTTCTTCCTTTCAAAAATCCCTTGCCAAAAATTCCTTGACGATGAAGAGGATCCTCAATGTTGCTGCTGTAGTGTGAGCAAGTTTAATCTCCCAATTGTATGGTGATTTTAAGAAGAGTGTTCATCTATAATTAATATGTCAAGGATAAGGAATGCATATAGATAATGGAGTTATGATTATTCTGAGAAGAGTTGGAAGGATTAGGTACAAGGTTTTATAAGAAGGCCAACAGCGGGCTGGAGAGATGGCTCAGCGGTTAAGAGCACTGACTGCTCTGCCAGAGGTCCTGAGTTCAATTCCCAGCAACCACATGGTGGCTCACAACCATCTGTAATGTGATCTGGTGCCCTCTCCTGGCCTGCAGGGATACATGCAGACAGGAAATTGTATACATAAGAAATAAATAAATCTTAAAAAAAAAAAAAAAAAAAAAAAAAAAAGAAGGCCAACAGCAATATTGTATGTTTAGTCAGATGAAATGCTTTCCTTTGTATGTGGCCTTTATTCACCTAGCAGTCTAACTGGCAAACTTTGAGGACTACCACAGCAGTGCAGCTGCAGGTTTCAGTGGATATTGTTTAAGAGAAGAAAAAACACAAAATGGGACTACTGAGGATGAAGCGCAATCGAGAGAGTGCTTGCCTAGCATGCATGGCACTAGGATTTGATCCCCAACACCTCATGAACCAGGTGTGGGTGCACAAATCTGTAATCCTAGCACTGTGGAGGTGGAGAAAGGAGAGTCAGAAATTCAGTATTTATCTTTGATTGTATAGCAGGTTTGAGACTAGCCTATATAAAAAAAAATCAAAGCAAAACACAAAACCCTAAACTTCTGATATCCTTCAATGATCTTTCTTTTTTTTCTAAAGCTGCTGAACCAGTGTTCTTGTTCCCCTTTACCTTGGCTCTCTAGGAAACAGACTTGGGAAAGGGCTGGGGAGAAGACTGAATGGGTAGGGTGCTTGCTGTGTTACCATAGGAGTTGGAATCTCCATCACCCATGGAAAAGCTGGGCACAGTGGCACAGTTACATGTCACCCATGTCTGTAATCCCGTGACTCCTACAGGGATCTGGGAAGTGGAGATGGGAGAATCCACAGAAGCTCTGCTGTAGGCACCAGCAGACAAACAAGAGGCTGGTCTCAAGGTGGCAGACAAGGACCCGTTCTTGAGGTTGTCCTCCAACTTGCATATATACCCACTGTGGACACATATGCATAGTCACACTAATGCACAAACAAAGATAGAAAATATTTTAAAATTTAAAAATTAAATTTAAATTTAATAATAAAACCACCCAACCAAACAAACAAACCAGGGCTGAAGAGCTGGCTCAGCAGTTCAGAGCATTTGCTGCTCTTCCGTTCCCCTGCTGGTTCATGACAGCCTCCAGTGTCAGTAGTGGGGGATCTGATGCCCTCTGCTGACCTCCACAGGCACCAGGCACGCACATAGTGCACATACATACATACAGGCAAAACCAGTCATGTGTAAATTAAAAATAAAACTTAATAAAAAAGTAACTGGGGTAGTGACACACGCCTTTAATCCTAGCACCTCGGAGGCAGAGGCAGGTGAATTTCTGTGAGTTTAAGGCCAGCCCAGTTTACATAGTTCCAGGCCAGCAAGGGCTGCATAGTGTGACCATACCTCAAAATAAGTAAATAAAAATTAAAAACGTGGAAAAACAGACATCTATTTTGTAGCATTTTGTTATACTGTCCATCATTTTGTTGTTTTTACTGTTGTTGTTGAGACAGGCTTTCTCTGTATAGCCTTGGCTGTCCTTTGAACTCACTGTGTAGCCCAGGCTGGCCTGAAACTCACAAATCCATCTTTCTCTGCCTCCTGAGTGCTAGGATTTGAAAGTGTGTGCCACCAAGCCTAGCCAAATTCATAGACTTTTTTGAGAATGTATTTCTTATTTTCTGTGTATGGGGGTTTTCTCTGCATGTCTGTCTGTGCACCACGTGCATGCCTGGTGCTAGAGGAGGTGAGAGGGCGTTGGGTCTCCTGCCTCCTCCTCGGTGCTGGGAATTGGACCCTGATCTTCTGGAAGAGCAGCCAGTGCTCCTGACTGCACAGCCATCTCTCCAGCCCCTTAAATTCATAGTTTTTAACCCAACTACATTTACTTTAAAGTCTACTAAGAGGTGGTAATAAGTATTGAAAGTTTTATGAAGAATTTTATCCATTGTTTAAAAAGTTTTTTGAAACTTGCATTTATTTTGTGTGTGTGTGTTGAGTGTGCACATGTGTCATAACACAGCATGGACAACTTGGGAGAGTGCTTCTCTCCTTCCACCACATGGGTCCCAAGGATCAGACTGAGGTTCTCAGGTTGGCAGTAGGCCTTTATTCACTGAGCCGTCTCACCAGCCGGTATCTCTGATTTTTATAGCATTGATAGGATTTGAAGAAGGTGATTTTTGTTTAGAAAGCCATTGTTTCCAATCCATTTCTTAGGATAACCTTGATTATTACCTTTCCCTAGGAGTCTGTGGGTTTGGTGTCCATGTTCCGTGGCATGGGCCTTGATACGGCCCTCCGGACCCCTTCAAAACGAGAAGCGCCTTCTTTAGGTATGTGGGAGTCAACTGGAAAGTTGGGGAGGCATATGTGGTCGCTTTGTTTTTGTGCTGTGGAGGCCTGTGTAGCTTGGGTCTTATGTCCACATGGTTTGTCTTCAGAAACGTAACAACATGCTCAGCTCACAGTAACAGCTGAGGTTTGGCTCTTGCAGGCAGAGGCGTTTTAGGTCGAGGCTTGTCTGCTAACATGGCCCGCAAAGACAGAGAAGAACCCCGTTCCTCTTTGCCTGATCCTTCGGTACTGGCAGCTGGGGACAGCAAGCTGGCAGAGGCTTCAGTTGGTTGGAGTAGGTAGGTAAAGTCACTTTGTCCTGTAACCTCAAGGGTAGGATGCAGAGAGAAGCTCTGGGACAGGTGTGTTACCATTCAGATGAGCATTTCCAAGCTGGGTGTCCATGGTGGCTGTCTCCCAGGGGTAGTTGGTGCCTGCTCACCCAGGAGGCACCAACCCAGGGAGGGAGAATAGTTCCCACTGGGCACCTCACAACTTCTTTTGACTCCTCAGAAGGTCCCCTGATGATAACATATGAGTCACATTCCCCTCAATTCTGCCTAGGAAGATGGCTTTGAGAGGGCATACCAAGAGTGGCCAGTGATTGGGTCATCATTTTAAGAGAATTCTAAGGCTCAGCTTGGGCCCCTTTGGGTGTTTCCTTCAAGAAAAGAATGGTAGCAATGGTTACAAAGAGCAGCTTCCTTGGGACTGCGTGTACCATGTTACCGACATGGTTGCCCAAGGGACCTTGGGAACAATTTTGTGGAGGCTGTTCATGTCTCTGATCTCAGTGTTATGCCCAGTCTAGGCTCCAGCAGGTATGTGTGGTGCCTTTGGGAAGCTGTAGGGCCATGGCCAGGGTTCACACTGACCAGGTCATCCTGTCCATCCACACCAAACTGCAGATTAAGAAATGTCATTGAGGCCCTGTGTAGAGCCAAGTTCAAGTTCCCCGGCCACCAGATGACCCATTACAAGGAAGATCCATGCTTCACTAAGTTCAATGCACATGAATTTGAAGACATGATAGCTGAGAAGCGGCTCATTGTTGATGGCTGTGGGGTCAAATAGACCCCAGTAATAATCCCCTGAACAAAGTGGTGGGCCCTGCACTCCTGGGGGCTTCCCGTGTTGTCCTCCACTCCACCAAATCATTTCAGTAATGAATTTCACAGACAGTCTTATTTTTTATTATTAAATTTTTTACTTATTTTACATACCAATCACAGTTTCCCCTCCCTCCTCTCCTCCTGTTCCCCGATTCCTCCTTTCTACCCCCCTAACCCACTCCTCAGAAAGGGTAAGGCTTCCCATGGAAATCAACAAAGTGTGGCATATCAAGTTGAGGCAGGATCAAGCTCCGACCCCCTGCATCAAGGCTGTGTGAGGTATCCCACCATAGGGAATAGGTTCCAAAAAGCCAGGGGCCCCACAAACAGACCAAACTACACAACTGTCACCCACATGCAGAGGGCCTAGGTCCGTCCCATGCAGGCTCCCTAGCTGTTGATCTAGAGTCCGTGAGCTCCCACAAGCTTGGGTCAGCTGCCTCTGTGGGTTTCCCCGTCATGATCTTGACCCACCTTGCTCCTATCTCTCTTCCCTCTATTTGACTGGACTTCCAGAGCTCTGCTCAGTGCTTGGCTGTGGATCTTCACAGCTGCTCCCATCAGTTACTGGATGAAGGTTCTACGATGACAATTGGGGTAGTCACTAGTCTGATTACAGGAGAAGGCCAGTTCAGGCATCCTCTCCACTATTGCTAGGAGTCTTAGCTGGGGTCATCCTTGAGGATTCCTGGGAGTTTGTTTCCCTGGCACCAGGTTTCTCCCTAACCCTGTAATGGACCTCTCTATCAAGATATCTCTTTCGTTGCTCACCCTCTTCCCGTCCCTCCCCCAACTCAACCATCTGATCCTTCATGTTCCCACCCCCTCCTCTCTACACTCTCCACCCCCAGTTTACCCAGGAGAGCTCATCTATTTCCCCTTCCCAGGGCTATCCATGCATCCCTCTTAGGGTCCTCCTTGTTACCTAGTTTCTCTAGGTCTATGGAATGTAGCCTGGTTATCCTTTGCTTTATATCTATTATCCACTTATGAGTGAGTACATACCATGTTTGTCTTTCTGGGTCTGGGTTACCTCACTCAGGATGATTTCTTCTAGTTCTGTCCATTTGCCTGCAATTTTCATGTCTTTGTAATACTCCATTGTGTAAATGTACCACATTTTCTTTATTCTTTGATTGAGGGGCATCTAGGTTGTTTCCAGGTTCTGGCTATTACGAATAATGCTGCTATGAACATAGTTGAGCATGTGTCCTTGTGGTATGATTGAACATTGTTTGGTATATGCCCAAAAGTGGTATTCCTGGGTCTTGAGGAAGATTGATTACCAATTTTCTGAGAAACCGCCATACTGATTACCAAAGTGGCTGTACACGGTTGCACTCCCACCAGCAGTGGAGGAGTGTTCTCCTTGCTCTGCATCCTCTCCAACATAAGCTGTCATCAGTGTTTTTGATCATAGCCATTCTGACAGGTGTAAGATGGTATCTCAGTTGTTTTGATTTGCGTTTCCCTGATGCCTAAGGATGTTGAACAATTCCTTAGATGTCTTTTGGCCATTTGAGATTCTTCCATTGGGAATTCTCTGTTTAGCTCTGTAGCCCATTTTTTAATTGGATTGTTCGTTATTTTGATGTCTAGTTTCTTGAGTTCTTTATATATTTTGGAGATCAGCCCTCTGTCAGATATAAGGTTGGTGAAGATCTTTTCCTATTCTGTAGACTGCTGTTTTGTCTTATTGACCATGTCCTTTGCCTTGCAGAAGCTTTTCAGTTTCAGGAGGTCCCATTTATTAATTGTCAATCTCAGTGTCTGTGCTACTGGTGTTATATTCAGGAAGTAGTCTCCTGTGCCAATACATTCAAGGCTACTTCCCACTTTATCAGGTTCAGTGTATCTGAATTTATGTTGAGGTCTTTGATCCACTTAGACTTGAGTTTTATGTGTGGCTATAGATATGAATCTATTTGCAATCTTCTACATGTTGACATCCAGTTATGCCAGCATCATTTGTTGAAGATGATTTCTTTTTTCCATTGTTCAGTTTTGGCTTCTTTGTCAAAAATCAGGTGTTCATAGGTGTGTGGATTTATGTCAGGGTCTTCAATTTGATTCCATTGGTCCACATGTCGGTTTTCATGCCAATACCAAGCTGTTTTTATTACTATAGCTCTATAGTGGAGCTTGAAGTCAGGGATGGTGGTGCCTCTGGAAGTTGCTTTATTGAACAGGATGGTTTTAGCTATCCTGGGTTTTTTGTTTTCCCATATGAAGTTGAGTATTGTTCTTTCCAGGTCTGTAAAGAATTGTGTTGGGATTTTGATGGGGATTGCATTGAATCTGTAGATTGCTTTTGGTAAGACTGCCATTTTTACTATGTTAACCCTGCCTATCCATGAGCATAGGAGATCTTTCCATCTTCTTCATTTCCTTTCTTCAAAGACTTGTCATACAGGTCTTTCACTTGTTTGGTTAGAGTTGTCCCAAGATATTTTATATTATTTGTGGCTATAATAAAGGTTGTTGTTTCTCTGATTTCTTTCTCAACCCATTTATTATTTGTATATAGAAGGGCTACTGATTTTTTGAATTAATTTTTTAAAAAAGATTTATTTATTTATTATGTATACAGTGTTCTGCCTATATGTCTGCCTGCAGGCCAAAAGCAGGCACCAGATCTCATTATGAATGATTGTAAGCCACCATGTGGTTGCTGGGAGTTGAACTCAGGACCTCTGAAAGAGCAGCCAGTGCTCTTAACTACTGAGTCATCTCTCCAGTCCTGAATTAATTTTGTATCCTGCCACATTACTGAAGGTGTTTATCAGCTGTAGGAGTTACCTGATAGAATTTTTGGGGTCACTTATGTGTACTATCATATCATCTGCAAATAGTGAAAGTTTGACCTCTTCCTTTCCAATTTGTATCCCCTTGATCTCCTTTTGTTGCCTTATTGCTCTAGCTAGAACTATATTGAATAGATCTTGTTCCTGATTTGAGTGAAATCGCTTTGAGTTTCTCTCCATATAATTTGATGTTGGCTGTTGGCTTGCTGTATATTGCTTTTATTATGATTAGGTATGTTCCTTGTATCCCTGATCTCTCCAAGACCTTTATCATGAAGGGGTGTTGGATTTTGTCAAAGGCTTTTTCAGCATCTAATGAGATGATCGTGTGTGTGTGTGTTCTTTCAGTTTGTTTATATGGTGGATTACATTGACAAATTTTCGTATGTTGAACCACCCCCTCCCCTGCATCTCTTAGATGAAGCCTACTTGATCATGGTGGATAATTTTTTGATGTGTTCCTGAATTTGGCTTGCCAGTATTTTATTGAGCATTTTTGCATCAATGTTCATGAGGGAGATTGGTTTGTAATTCTCTTTCTTTGTTGCATCTTTGTGTGGTTTGATTATCAGGGTAACTGTATCCTTATAAAAAGAGTTTGGCAATGTTCCTTCTCTTTCTATTGTGTGGAATTCTATTTGAGGGGTATTGGTATTAGCTCTTCTTTGAAAATCTGGTAGAATTCTGTGCTGAAACCTTTTGGCCCTGGGCTTTTTTTGGTGGGATACTTTTAATGACTGCTTCTATATCCTTAGGGGTTGTAAGTCTATTTAAATTGTTTATCTGGTCTTGATTTAATTTTGGTATGTAGTACCTATCCAAGAAATTGTCCATTTCTTTTAGATTTTTCAATTTTGTGGAGTACAGGTTTTTGAAGTATGACCTAATGATTCTCTGGATTTCCTCAGTGTCTGTTGTTATGTCTCCCTTTTCATTTCTGATTTTGCTAATTTGGATGTTCTCTCTCTCTGCCTTTTGGTTAGTTTGGATAAGGACTTGTCTATCTTGTTGATTTTTTTCAAAGAACCAACTCTTTGTTTCATTGGTTCTTTGTATTGTTCTCTTGGTTTCTATTTTATTGATTTCAGCCCTCAATTTGATTATTTCCTGGCGTCTGTTTCTTCTGGGTGAGTTTGCTTCTTCTTGTTCTAGAGCTTTCAGGTGTGCTGTTAAGTTGTTAGTGTGAGATTTCTCCACCTTCTTTATGTGGGCGTGTAGTGCTATGAATATTCCTCTTAGCACTGCTTTCATAGTGTCCCATAAGTTTGGGTATGTTGTACATTCGTTTTCATTGAATTCTAGGAAATCTTTAATTTCTTTCTTTATTTCTTCCTTGACCCAGTGGTGATTCAGTTGAGCATTTTTCAGTTTCTGTGAGTTTGTAGACTTTCTGCCTTTTGTGTTGTTGTTGAATTCTAACTTTAAGCCATGGTGATCAGATAAGATAGAGGGGGTTATTCCAAGTTTTTTTTTTTTTTTGTATCTGTTGAGATTTGCTTTGTGACTGGGTATATGGTCAATTTTAGAGAAGGTTCCATGGGGTGCTGAGAAGAAGGTATATTCTCTTGTGTTTGGGTGAAATATTCTATAGATGTCTGTTAAGTCCATTTGAGTCATAACATCTGTTAGTTCTCTTATTTCTCTGTTAAGTTTCTGTCTGGTAGACCTGTCCATTGGTGAGAGTGGGGTTGTTGAAGTCTCCCACTATTAGTGTGTGGGGTTTGATGTGTGATTTTAGCTTTAGTAATGTCTCTTTTACAAATGTGGGTGCTTTTTTATTTGGGGCATAAATGTTCAGAATTGAGACTTCATCTTGATGGATTTTTCCTGTGATCAGTATGAAATGTCCTTCTCCATCTCTTTTGACTAATTTTAGTTTGAAGTCTATTTTGTTAAATATTAGAATAGCTATACCAGCTTGTTTCTTAGGTCCATTTGATTAGAAAATCTTTCTCCAACCCTTTACTCTGAGGTAATATCTTCCTTTCAGGTTGAGGTGTGTTTCTTGTATGCAGCAGAAGGATGGATCATATTTTCATATACATTCTGTTAGCCTGTGTCTTTTTATAGGCGAATTAAGTCCATTGATATTAAGAAATATTAATGACCCAGTGACTGTTAATTCCTGTTATTTTTTTGGTTTTGTTGTTGCTGTTGGTAGTGTGTGTGTGTTTCCCTTTGGAATTTGCTGGTGTGAGATGATCTATTGCCTGTGTTTTCATGGGTGTAGCTAGCTTCCTTGGGTTACTTTCTGTAGGGCTGGATTTGTGGATAGGTATTGTTAAAGTCATTTTAACTAACTTTTTAGGTTTTTGTTTGTTTCTTTGTTTGTTTTGTTTTGTTTATTCGAGACAGGATTTCTTTGTGTAGCTTTGTTCCTTTCCTGGAACTCACTTTGTAGACCAGGCTGGCCTCGAATTCACAGAGATCCGCCTGCCTCTGCCTCCTGAGTGCTGGGATTAAAGGTGAGCGCCAACACTGCCCGTAATTTTTCAGTTTTGTCTAGTATCTTGTTTTCTCCGTCTATGATCATTGAAAGTTTTGCTGGGTGTAGTAGTCTGGGCTGGCATCCGTGGTCTCTTAGTGTCTGCAAAACATCTGTCTAGGACCTTCTGGCTTTCAGAGTCTCCATTGAGAAGTTGGGTTTAATTCTGATAGGTTTGCCTTTATATGCTACTTGGCCTTTTTCCTTTGCAGCACCTAGTATTCTTTCTTTATTCTGTATGTTTAGTGTTTTGATTATTACGTGGTAAGGGGACCTTTTTTTTTTTTTTTTTGGTCCAGTCTATTTGGTGTTCTGTAAGCTTCTTGTGTCTTCCTAGGCATGCTGTTCTTTAGGTTGGGAAAGTTTTCTTCTATGATTTTGTTGAATATATTTTCTGTGCCTTTGAGCTGGTATTCTTCTTTTATCCCTATTATTCTTAGGTTTGGTCTTTTCATGGTGTCTCAGATTTCCTGGATGTTTTGTGTTAAGAATTTTTTGGATTTAACATTTTCTTTGACTGATGAATCTATTTCTTCTGTCTTATCTTCAGTGCCTGAGATTCTCTCTTCCATCTCTTGCATTCTGTTGGTAATGCTTGTATCTGTAGTTCCTGTTCATTTACCCAGATTTTTCATTTCCAGAATTCCCTCAGTTTGTTTTTTCTTTATTGTCCCTATTTCAATTTTCAAGTCTTGAATTGTTTCCTTCATCTGTTGATTGTTTTTTTCTTTAAGGGATTTATTGATTTCTTCCAATTTTTTGTTTGTCTTTTCCTTGATTTCTTTTTTTTTGGGGGGGGGGAGTGTTTTCGAGACAGGGTTTCTCCGTGTAGTTTGGTGGCTGTCCTGGAACTCACTCTGTAGACCAGGCTGGCCTTGAACTCACAGAGATCTGCCTGGCTCTGCTTCCCGAGTGCTGGGATTAAAGATGTGCGCCACCGCCGCCTGGCTTCCTAGATTTCTTTAAGAGAATTTTTCATTTCCTCTTTAAGGGCCTCTATATCTTCATAAAGTTATTTTTAAAGTCATTTTATTCTGCTTCATCTGTGTTGGGATGTTCAGGTGGTGCCATATTGGTCTTTATGTTGTTGAATGTATTACACTGCTGTTTACCCATCTGGGTTTGGGATAATTATAGGAACAGGTGTTGATTCTTGTGATGTCTTTGTTGGATGGGTATTTTGTTCCTTTACTGTCTGTTTCCTTTATTGTCTTTTGGCCTGAATGGCCAAGGGGTCTGATGATTGGCGGGTTGTCAGGTTGAGTAGGGTTGTCTCAGCTGAGATTTGTGGCAGTTTGGGTGTCTAGATCCAGCGTATCGTCCAGATCTTCTGGCTGGTGTGGGCTTTACTTGTACCTATGGGGTTTGCTCTTCTAATTGGTGTAGTTTTTGCCTGTGCTTGTTCTGCCAACTGGTGTGGGTGGGGCTTGTGCCTGTAGGATCTGCTGATGTTGCTGGAGAGGGCTGTTCGCGGGGAGGATGCTCTTCTTCCAAATGGTAGCGGTAGTTGGTGCTTGTGCCTCTAGGGGCTGCTGGTTTTGTTGGGGGGTGGTTGGCCAAGAGGAGGATGATGGGTTCGGTGGGTTTCCATGGCAAAGTAGGTCCTGTAGGTTACAGGTCCAATGGGTGGCAGCGGTGGGGGTGGAGTGGCCTGCCCACAGGCCTCTTCCTGCTGCTCCACAGCTAGTCTCTAAAAAGGAAAGGAGTGGTACACTTGAGAGGATGGTCTAGATGTTGTGTAGACCAGAAAAACCCCGATTTGTCTCCTTTTCATTTCAGAATGCTGGGAAGAGGCAGTTCTGATGTCTTGTTACCGCTGGGAAGAGCAGCCAGTAGTATAGGCAGAGGAGTGGATAAGTCTCCCAGTGCCTTTGGCCTGACTGCTCGGGATCCCCCACGGCTGCCACAGCCTCCAGCTCTGTCTCCGACCTCACTGCACTCTGCAGATCCCCCTCCAGTCCTGACTATGGAGCGAAAGGAAAAGTGAGTTAAGGTCACCTTCTGCTCAGGCTGCTGGGTAGAATTGTGGGTACAGTTCTGTGAGTCCACATTCTTCTGGGGTGATGGGGGCTGGAGTGTGTTTGTCTTTTGACAGGAGAGATAGATGAAGAGATTCCTGAAGAAGTACAATGGTTTTAATATAATATAAACAGTTGGCTTGTCACGTCCCTTTCACATCAGACTGACAGTTTGCTGTCATGTTGAAGATAAGGATGTCACCTAGGAGGAGTATTAACTGCCCCTCATCTCTCTCTGTGGAACATTCTTTGTCCTTAGGTAGCTGGCCTTGGTTACTGTAGCACTACTTGTAGGGCAGCCTGGGTGACTTTGCTATGTAATTAGATGTGGCTGCATTTGTACACCTTGACTCCTAGTTTGTGAATCTGTAAATGAAATGGGAAAAACTATTTTCTCAGTCTTTTCCTTGTTGATGGGGGCTGGTCAGTTGGTTATTGAGGTATATGCTGTGTGTGTGTGTGTGTGTGTGTGTGTGTGTGTGTGTGTGTGTGTGTGGTCCCAACTAGTCTTGAACTTCTGGACTCAAGGGATCTTTGGTTTTAGCCTCCAGAGTAGATAGAACTAAGTTATATAATATAATGCCTGGCTTGTGTTTTTTCTCCTTTTCTTCCTTCTTTTCCAGAGAGCTTTTGGTCAAGCAAGGATCAAAAGGAACCCCTCAGTCTTTAGGACTGAACCTCATCAAAATCCAGTGTCACAATGAAGCAGTGTATCAGTATCACGTGACTTTCAGGTGTGTACACCTGTGTTTCCTTGGAGGCACTCAGTCCTCCTCTGAGCTGCTCCAGACTGTCGACTCCCCCTGCAGTGACCTGCACTCAGGCTTCTGGGAGGAAGTTCAAGTTAGTATTTGTGTGCGTCAGCTCTTTTCCAAATCCAGGTTTTGATTTAATAGGCACAGGCTCATGTGAGGCTAGAAATGGATTTAAAGTGGAAGTAATGTACTGTGAGCTCAGAGCCTGTGGTCTGCAGGGCTCCTCCCATGGCCTTTCCTGTGTTTCTGGCAGTACTGGTGCTTGAACCCAGGACCTCACACATGCTAGGCAAGTGCTCCACTACTGAGCAACACCCAGCACATTTCCATGATCTCTTGGCTCATCCTTTATAATTTTTATTCCTTTTATTAAACTTTAACCACTAAAACCAAAGATCCCTTGAGTCCAGAAGTTCAAGACTAGTTGGGACCACACACACACACACACACACACACACACACACACACACACACACACACAGCATATACCTCAATAACCAACTGACCAGCCCCCATCAACAAGGAAAAGACTGAGAAAAGTAAAAGATATGGTATAGAACTCTGTTGTACATTTCACATTTTCTGCGTCCACATGCTGATGAATGTGTCTTGGCTATTGTGAAATTACTAAAGTAAATCTGTGTTTGTTTGTAGATGTTTAGTTGAAATAATTGATTGCAGATCTTTTAGGTGCAGATCTTTTAGGTCTATATCTGAAAGTGGGATTACTGGGTCATACATAGTTTTAGGTTTTTATAAACATATGTATGTGTATGTGAGTGTTCATATGTACACACATGTGAAGTCCAGAAAACAACCTTAGGTGTCATCTTCAGGAAAAGCCATTCATATCTTTTAAAACAAGGTCTTTGATTGGACTGAACTTCACCAATTAGGTGAAGACGACTGGCTGGCTAGTCGACCCCAGAGATCCTCTTATCTGTGGGGCTACAAGGACATACTTTGGATGCTGGAGAGATGGTTCAGTGGTTAAACTCACTGTCTGCTCTTTCAGAGGACCTGTGTTCAATTCCAAACATCTCCATGGTGGCTCACAACTGTCTCTAACACTGTATGTAAGCACCCTCTTCTGACCTCCACAGGCACTACACACATACTGTGCATACACAAGGTGATACCATCATGCCCTGTATTTTTACGTGGGTTTGGGGTGGGGGTGTTGAATGCAGGTCCTTGTGCGTGCAAGGTGTAAGAACTTTACCAATTAAGCCATCTCCTAGCCCTGTTTTCAGGGTTTTTTTGAAGAGCATACTGTTTTCCAAAATGGTTCTGCTAAGAAGCATGAGGTTTTGAAGGACAGCTACTAAATGATGGTAGAGGAGGAGGCAGTGGAGTGCAAAGAGAAGAAAGTGACGGTCAGAAGGAAATGACCCAGAAGGATTGTAACGACCAGAGAAAGAAAGGGTCCACTTGGATGAGGACAACAAGTTTGATTTTGGCCACAAGAAAAAGAATCCTTGATCTGCTTTCAGCCTACCTTACTGGTCTTCTATAAACTGTATTAGAGTTACAGAGAAAATGCCTAAGATCAAAGGAACCAGGGAGAACGTAAGCCATGAGAACAGCCCATGAACCCACCACTCATTTCAAAAGCTGGAAAGAGCGAGAAAGAAGGCAGCAGGATTTTAATCCCAGCGAAGGCGGGAGAATCGCTGTAGAGCTGGAGGTCTACAAAGCAGCCAGGGTTGCTCCATGGAGAAACCCTGTCTCAAAAAAATCAACCAGACAACAACCACCACAAAAGGAAGATCTCCACCAGGACAAGGAGGAGACAACCAAGAGGAGCCCCGAAGCAGGCCCGGCCTGGACCCTGAGTGCAGGCCTGGGTGTCAGGGGAGAGCTTTCTCTGTGAGTGGCTGGCAAATTCTCATGAAGCAGGAAGGGTGTCTTGCATTGACTGGGCCATGGAAAAACCATGGACTTGTAGGGCTAGAGGTTTATGTAGTCTAAATGGAGTTTGTGTGTGAGCATGCACACAGGTACAGAGGGCAGCTCTGGGTGGTGATCAGTAAAGACGGGGCCTCCCTCACTAGGACTGTAGCTCTGATTAGGCTAGGCTGGCTGACAGGCCAGCAGGTTCCAGGGATCCACCTGTGTATTGCTCCCAGTCACTGGAACCACAAGTTTGCCACCGTGGGTGCTAGCGTCAAGCTCAGGTCCTCACGCTGCAGGGTTATCCTGGGTCGTTCTATGTCAGCTTGACACAAACTGGAGTTAGCTGGGAAGAGGAACTTCAGCTGAGAAAATGCCCTCATTAGATTGCCACAGGCAAGTCTGGAGGGCATTTCTTGATTAGTGACTGACATGAGAGGGCCCAGCCCACTGTGGGTAGTGGCATCCCTGGGCTGGTGGTCCTGGGTGATAAAAGAAAGCGTGGAGAGCAAGCCAGTAAGCTGGACTCTTCATGGTTCTGCTTCAGTTCCTGCTCTGATTTCCCTTAGTGATGGAATGTGCCTGAGAGTTGTAAACTGGAATAAATCATCTCCTCCCTCGATGTGCTTTTGGTCCTGGTGTTTTACCATAGCTATAGAAAAGCAAACTAGAGCAGGTGTCAGCCACCTTCCTGACTGAGCCGTCCATCTAGCCCCAGGGACTTTTGAAGCCACAGTGCGAAGGTGATGTGAGGTAATTGAGAAGATGCTGATAATGTGGAAAATGCTGATGCAGTGCACTAGGCTGTAGCTTTGCATGGAATAGCAACAGCAAGGTAAATGGCAGAATGTCGCTCTCAGTGTAGGTCGATTGTCCTAATCTGAAAATCCCAAACCTGAAATCCTCCAGAATCTGAAAGTTTTTCAATGTGGACATGATGCCATATGGAGAAAATTACACACCGTGAAACTTTCATCTACCAGATTGTTAAAAGGTATTATGTATGGGGCTAGAGAGATGGCTTGGTAATTAAGAGCACTTGCTGCTCTTACAGAAGGTCAAAGTTTGGTTCCCAGCACCTACATGGTGCCTCAAACGTTAGTAACACCAGTTCCAGGAGATCCAGCCCTCTTCTGTCCTCCATGGTCATCAGGCACCCATGTGGTACATATACCAGTTCGGTGAAACACTCATACATAAAACCAATCTGGGCCAGCCATGGAGGTGCATGACTGTAATCCTAGCACTCAGGAAGCAGAGTCAGGCTGATCTCCATGAGGTCAAGGCTAACTTGGTCTACACAGGGAATTCTAAGCCAGCCAAGGCTACAGAGTAAGACCCACTCTCAAAAAAACCAACAACAAAAGAAAAACCCCCAGACCTAAAAAAGTTTTTTTTTTTAATTATATAAAATTACCTTTGGACTGGGTATGTATGAAACATGAGTGTGTTTCATGTTTAGAATTGGGTCTCATCCACAGGATAATTCATTATGTACATGCAGATACTCCAGGATCCAAAACACTTTGGGTTTAAGCATTTGGCACAAGGTATACTCAACCTGCATATAAGAATTTTTTTTTTTGAGGAGAAATGTTAATGTGAGTATTTAATTTTAGGGGTGACATGTTGATTTTTTTAAGTCTTCCTATATCTAAACATACTGGATCCTTTTTTAGTCTTGGATTTATTCACATTTTATAGTTGTAGAACAAGATTGTATGTTAGTGTGATATAGTGGAACAATCATTGTATAAGGTAGCTATTAGATTTTTTTAAGCTGCCAGTTTGTTAAATTAATACAAAGTTGAAATTTCCATGGGTGAAAAATGATTAAAATCTCATTTTTACAAATGCCTTTTGGTGGGGTATTGTGGTACACAGCTTTAATCTCAGCACTCGAGAGGCAGAGGCAGGTGGATCTCCTTGAGTTCAAGGCCATCCTGGTCTGTATAGACCCTGTCTCAACAACAAAACAAACAAAAACAAAAGCAGTTTCGGGGCTGGAGAGATGGTTTAGAGGTAAAAACCAAATCAAAACAAAAATCCACTACCACCACTTGCTGCCCCTGCAGAGGCCTGAGTTCAGTTACCAGCATCCATATCAGGTGACTCACAACCCCCTGGAACTCCAGCTCCAGGGAATCTGCTTCCCTCTTCTGGCCTCTGCAGACACACGGACATATACAGAGAAGTAAAAGTAAGTCTCGAAAAAACAAAGCGCTTTAAAAATGTGTGCCTCTGAAGACTCAGAGCGGGATTGGCAAACCACAGTCAGTCCGAGGTTAGGCCTGGCCCACACCTTGTGTCATTGGAACTTTGCCACACTCACGAGTTTCTATGCTGTGTCTGATTTTGTCTTATGACAGCAGAGTTGCACAATTGTATGGTCATATAAAACTTCAGATACTTACAACATGGCCTCAGTGTTCTGATATGTGCTCTGATGTCTAGAAGGGTATACATGACATGTGAAGCTAGCTATCTCGAGTTATGGGATATTTTTCGTTTTGTTTCGTTTTCCTTACTTCCAGGTCTCTCTGTTGTCCAGTGAAGTCTTAAACCGATGATCCTCCTGCCTCAACCTCTCACATAGCTGAATTGCAGGTATACACTCCAAGCCTGGTAGATTATTTACAATTTCTAATGTTTCTATCCAAGCAGGTATGTTTGAGACACACTCTGTAGTTAGCTGTGTAATTATAAATGTGACCACTAGGTGGAGTGCAGTTACAAAAAAAACTGCTTCTCAAAATAGTAGACTTACTGAACCACTGTCGTAAAGATCGCTGTTTGCGTCAATCTGAACTAAAATCTTCTTTGTTGTTTTGCAGCCCCAATGTGGAGTGCAAAAGCATGAGGTTTGGCATGTTGAAGGACCATCAAGCTGTCACAGGAAACGTCACTGCTTTTGATGGGTCTATTCTCTATCTTCCTGTTAAGCTTCAACAAGTGAGACCCAGTGGAGATTGTGGTGTGGGTGAAACTCCTGCATGCTCTGATGGTTTGAGTGGTGGTGAAGTACAGACTCCCTGGGCATGTGACTTGAACCTTCCCATTTTTAGACAGAGAGCACACTTCTGCAGAACACAGCATAAATCCCCCCACTTAAGTTTAAGAAGTAACTTTTCACATAGGCAGAGTGGTAGGAAGCTTTTGGGACTCTGTGGCAAATAATCACTCAAATTTTCAACTTCAGGGCCTGGAGAGAGAGCTCAGCAGTGAAGAGCTGCCTTGCAGAGAGGCCAGGTTCGGTTCTTAGCACCCGTACTGGGTGGCTCTCAATCATCCTTCTAATACCAGGGGATCCAGCGTCCTCTTCTGGCCTCCTTGGGCACCTGCATACACATGGCGCACATGTACATGCATATAAAATGAATTTAAAATAAAAAGATTTAAAGTTTCAACTTTGAATTTTATTTGTGTATTTATTTATTGATTGCCACACTGATTTTTGCCAGCACCGGCTTCACAGTAAGGGGGAAGTAGAAGCTACATTTTGGGCTCTAGAACTCGGTGAGTTAGGGCTAAGGCTTCCTATCTGTCGTTTCTAGTACTTGTGTGTATTTATTTGTTAGGTTGTTGAGTTAAAAAGCCAGAGAAAAACTGATGACGCCGAGATCAACATCAAGATCGAGCTGACGAAGATTCTTGAGCCCTGCTCTGACTTGTGCATCCCCTTCTACAACGTGGTTTTCCGACGGTAAGGGGTCTTGTGCATGGAGGAAGGCTTGCCCCCCCCCTCCCCCGGAAGTGTGGATGGTGCTGCACACAGCGACCGTGTCTGTGGGTGGGCTTGGAAGCACGTAATGAGTGGCCTTAGCATCCGCTCACTCAAGAATTCTCTCTCACTTGACAGGTCAGGTTTGGGTCCCTGCAATTAGCCCTGTGGGTAGCTGAGTAGGCAGATGGGTTCCTTTGGATGAGTTTAAGAATTTTCAGACCAGATGTTTGTTTTGAAATAGAATTTCATGTAACTAAGGCAATCTCAAACTTGATATGTAGCTGAGGATTGCCCATCCTGATCCTCCTGCCTCAACTTCCCTAATGCTGAGATTACAGACATGAGCAACCATACGCAGCCAAAACGGATGTCAGTATTGTTTATTTAATAGCGTTAGGAGTAAAGGGGCTTCTCAGAGTACAAACGTTTGCTGGGAGATATTTTCTAGCCTCTAAAAGAATTATACATGGCTTACAATTGTTTATCTTCTTTTGAGAGTTTCTCAGTTTTGCACAGGTATTAATCCCAAACTACCTCTCCTTTAATAAACCAGAACCTAAAGTGAGGTGCTGGAGCATATGCAGTGCCCTCGGTGGGAGCTAGTTCATGTGCATTCTCTTGAGTTCATGGTGAACAGTAATATAATGAGCCTATGAAATAGCCCTGTGTTTGGTGAGGTGGGTACCAAGAGAGCCCTCAGTCATTTGAACATACTCCAGATGGACGCTTTGCTCGCTTTACAAGATGATTCTAAACACAGGCTACACTATGCACAAAACAAAAGCTTTCCTGTACCTTCAGGTTTGTAGAGGAAGCCATAGCTAAGGCTGAAAGAGCTTTTTCTGTTAGGCTTGGGGTACAGTTAGATGGTGAGTGCTTGCCTAGCGAATATGAGGCTCTGTGTTCCACCCCTAGTACTGTGAAGGAGAAAGGAACTCACCCCTCGTGTTTATTTCAGGGTAATGAAACTTCTGGATATGAAGCTTGTGGGGAGAAACTTCTACGACCCTACAAGTGCCATGGTACTACAGCAACACAGGTTGGTGGGTTTTTTTCCAAACTTCACTTTTGAATGTCTGGAAAGAAACTTCATTATGTCCACTATGCTTAGGACATAAACTTCACCAGTGTTTTATGGTAGTAAGTACAATTTAATCAACTAAATCTTTTTGCTTGTTTATATTTTTAGTAAATTTGTACTGATACTGATTTGATTACGTTTTCCCCCTAGGGCTTCCTCATTATTACTGGGAAGGGCAGTATCAGTATTGTGTCAAGTAGGGGCATGGAATTCTGTGGCTCTGATGCTCTTGAAACACTTCTCTTCAGGTTGCAGATCTGGCCTGGCTATGCAGCTAGCATCCGGAGGACAGATGGAGGTCTCTTCCTGCTCGCTGATGTCTCTCATAAAGTCATTCGGAATGACTCTGTGCTGGATGTCATGTGAGTGAATGGTGGGATCCACCTTTAACGCGATGATGACTTTCTGAAGTTCAGAAATGGGCAGTCGGAGGACAGGGTGGACTCTATTCTGTAGGATTTTTAATCGTAAAATGTATTAATAGAATTGAAGCCAGGTATGGTGACTCCCCCAGGGCTGAGGCAGGAGGATAACCTCAAGTTCAAACCTGGCCTGGGCTATATGAAGGGTTCCAGACCAGCCTGAGATACAGTGTGAAACCCTGTCTCAGAAAACAAAGCAAAACAAAACAGATTGCTGAAAGAATGTGCTCTTTCCTGAAGTCTAGTGAGATGAGCATCTGAGTAGGCATCTGCTGTTCTCCAAGAAGTCGTATTTCTTGGGTGGGTGAGATCAAATTAGTTCTTCTTCTGAGCCCTGTTTTTAAGTCTTGAGTCAGGCATTGCCCGCTTATGTCACACACAGGCTGAGGTGATTGGTTGTTTTTTGTACTTTTGAGATAGTCTTATGCTTTTTTTTTTTTTAAGATTTATTTATTTATTATGTATACAGTGTTCTGCTCACATGTATGTCTGCAGGCCAGAAGAGGGCGCCAGATTTCATTACAGATGGTTGAGAGCCACCATGTGGTTGCTGGGAGTTGAACTCAGGACCTCTGGAAGAGCAGCCAGTGCTCTTAACCTCTGAGCCATCTCTCCAGCCCCCAAGACAGTCTTATTCAGTATCTTAAAATAAGACAGTCTTATTTTAGTATCATAGGCTAGCCTGGAACTTACACGGTGGTCCAGCCTGGCCTCTGTATGTTTGTAGTACAAAGCCACTCAGCTCTAGAGCAGGTCTGCGGCTTCCAGGGGACCCTGCTACTGGTCTGGGCACTTCATCCTCCAGACCTTTTGTGTTATTACAGACCCAGGAAATGGCCAAAGAGAAATTATTTTCCTAGATATCAGAGCAACTCAGTCTTTAGAAATAGTAGATTTTTTTCATTACCCAGGAATAACTTACATGCTTCTAAATGGTAGCGAGCAAATAGGTTTACCCAATGGGTTCAATGTTACCTGTTGCTGCTACATTCTCAGTAACTGATTTAATGATCATCCCAGTGGAATTCAGGACCATCTGCAGTGTCTGCTGCGTACTGGTGCCGGCCGGCTGGGCTGCCCCCACCTTTTTCCTGACGCTCCCGCCCGTCAGGTCTGAGACCTAACACTGCTGCTTCTCTGTGTTGTCCCTCTGCTCTGGTGCAGGCCGTGGAGAAGGGCACAGAGGAGGAAATGCTGTGGGCCTCAGGTGTTTACCTTAGATTGAGTGAAGTTCTAGGCGGGAAGTTCTTTTCCCTCAGAATTGGAGCATTGCTGCCTTCCAGTGCCCTGACCACTGAGCGAGCAGGGCATGTGGAGTTGTTTTTCAGTCTTCAGGCGTCATCTTCACCAGGCTTCCCGTCCCTTTGGAAGGTCCCCAAACAGTTCTTTTTGTTGTTTTATTAGCACACATTAACTACAGTAATGGCGGCTTCATGCTGTTTCCCGTGTGTGTGTGTGTGTGTGTGTGTGTGTGTGTGTGTGTGTGTGTGTGTGCTGTGTTTTGAGCTCACTTGCCCCCACCACCCTTCCGTCTACCCCGTTTGCTCCATGCCTCTCTCCACCAGTTGCTCTTCTCCCGCATGTGCATTCTTTTGTTGGGCATCGTTTTTGTGACTCAGCAGTTTAGGATTGCTCATGTGAGCTGGGTGAGTGTTGATTGACCAGGAGCTGTGTACCACTAAAGAAAATGCTTCCAATCAATCACCCAGCTGCCATTGGTTCCTCAGAGAAGGGTGGGACCTCTCTAGCCCCTCCCCACTAGCAGCCTTCAACTTCCTGTAACTCTCTGGGGAGAGTGGCCCTTGCCCTCATGATGCAGTTTCAGCTGGCCCAGTCTCCTGCAGGTTTCTCCATGTCGTCTCCTCTAATATTACTTGTTCCTTTCTGTGCATTTTAGGATTCTTTCTGGGATAGTTTTCTTCCTGCCTGAAGTAACACTATAGTATGTCATTTAGTTTAGGATTTGCTGGTGAGAATTTAGATGTTTACTTTGCTTTTTAGACTAAAATTCTGCACTTGGTAGATATTTTCTTCTAGCATCAAGTCTGTATTCCATTATCTTCTGGCTTACATTGTTTGTATCACAAGTCAGCTGCCTGTGTTACAAGTGCTCTTAAAACTGTTGTTAATTTTTGTCTTTTCAGAAGTTTTGCTATAGTTTATCTAGTTTCGTTTCTGTTAAAGAAAACAAGATTGTGACACTTGTTCAGGAATGGTAAGGTGGACTTTGTGAGGACCATTGGTGGGAGGGATGGACTCAACTATGACGACCCAAGGAAAGTAGCACTCTTCTAGGCGGGCTTCTGCTGGGTTACCAGGCTGGTCTCAAACTCTGGGTTGGAGCTGGGCAGTGGTGGTGCACGCCTTTAATCCCAGAATTTGGGAGGCAGAGGCAGGCCAATCTCTGAGTTCGAGGCCAGCTCCAGCGTGGTCTACAGAGTGAGTTCCAGAACAGGGCTACACAGAGAAACCCTGTCTCCAAAACTAAACCTCCTTGGGCTGAAGCAGTCCTTCCCCAGTAGCCCTCGAGTTGGCTGGCACTACAGGCACACACCAGCACATCCAACTCGGGAAGTGGGAATGTAAAAAACAATAACGGTGCAGGGGAGAGTAGAAGGGGGTTACTGATGGGGTGTGTGTAAAACAATAACGGTGCAGGGGAGAGTAGAAGGGGGTTACTGATGGGGTATGTGTAAAACAATAACAGTGCAGGGGAGAGTAGAAGGGGGTTACTGACAGGGTGTGTGTAAAACAATAACAGTGCAGGGGAGAGTAGAAGGGGGTTACTGACAGGGTGTGTGTAAAACAATAACAGTGCAGGGGAGAGTAGAAGGGGGTTACTGACAGAGTGTGTGTAAAACAATAACGGTGCAGGGGAGAGTAGAAGGGGGTTACTGACAGGGTGTGTGTAAAACAATAACGGTGCAGGGGAGAGTAGAAGGGGGTTACTGACAGGGTGTGTGTAAAACAATAACGGTGCAGGGGAGAGTAGAAGGGGGTTACTGACAGGGTGTGTGTAAAACAATAACGGTGCAGGGGAGAGTAGAAGGGGGTTACTGACAGAGTGTGTGTAAAACAATAACAGTGTAGGGAAGAGTAGAAGGGGGTTACTGACAGGGTGTGTGTAAAACAATAACAGTGTAGGGGAGAGTAGAAGGGGGTTACTGACAATAACAGTGCAGGGGAGAGTAGAAGGGGGTTACTGACAGGGAACACCACAGGGAGGGACTCTAGCCAAGCAGAATGGAGAGGATTCTTGCTGTGGCAGGCTGAGGACATCACCTGGGGGGAGGATGGGGCCGAAGGCTTTGATTAGATATGGAAGGCAATCAGATTATCAAGGCTGGAATTCTGGCTAAACTGACTCAGTCCGATTCTTGCTAAAACCTAGTACAGTGGTGAAAGTGGAGGGCTGGTTAAGAGCCCGACTAGAGTTTGGTCGAGGAGAGACTCTTCCTAATAATGATGCTGTGAGGTCTGTGAGGTCCTTGCATAGGCCTTCACAAGAGTGTGGGCAGGGCTTCCCCACCATCTTAATTATAAAGTATGCGGGAGGGTAGAGTAGGAACACATGGTGCTTTCTGTCTGGGGTGTGCTGTCCAGGGTCTCTGGGGAAGACATGGTGGGAAGCCAGCGGCCATGTCACAGGGCAGCCCTGTGGAGTGGCTCACTTCTTGATGTCAGTAACACATCTTGTTCAATTCAGCCTTGAGGTGGCTACAGCTGCCTTAGAACCTTGTAAGAACTGCCTTGCTAGGCAGACTCAATTCCTGACCCAGGAAGACTGAGATAATAAGTATATGTCTGATGTTTTTTATATTGTTACTATTGTTTTGTGACTGGAGACAGAACCCAAGGCCTCATACATGTTAAGCTAGCATTCCATCACTGAGCCACGGACCAGCTTTTGTATGAGTTTTCTTACATCTGTGTGTTTATTTGTATGTGTGTGTACGTACATGTGTGAAGGGCAGAGGAGAGTTTGAAGGAGAAGTAGGTTCTTTTCCTCCACCTTGAGGATCCAGGAATCAAACTCAGATCTTCAGGTTTGGTAGCAAGTGTCTTTACCCACTGAGCCATCTAGATGGTCCCCATGTGATCTTATTAAAGAGCTTTATTGAGGTATGCACTGTGAAATGTACTTATTTGGAGGGTGCTGCTCCTTGACTGTTAGTGTATGTACAGTGCTGCTGTATATTGTCACTGCAGACAGTTTTAGGACATTGTCGTCACTGCAGAGAGAAGCCGTTTCCTACTTTTCCCTCAGGCCTACAGAAACCATCACTCTGTGTGTTCTCTCTCTCTCTCTCTCCCCCCCCCCCCTTCCTTCCTCTCTCCCTCTTTCCCCACTGATTGAGATAGGGTCTTGCCCATGTTGACCTCAGATTTGTAATCCTCCTACCTCACTAATTTGTATTACAATGTATTACAAACATTTCATATGAAAAACTATCTTATATATAATATTCTGAGTCTTGGTATGTTTTCAAGATCCACTCATGTAATAAACATGATATAATTTTCCTTTTTACATGGAACAATATTCTACCATATTGGTATGCTATATTTCCCTTTTAAAAATATTTATTTTTATTTTATTATGTATGTATGAGTATATGCTGTGTATGTGTACTGATGGAGACCAGAAGATGTCAGGTGCCCTGGACCTGGAGTTAGGAGATTGTGAGCCATCCAGCATGGATGCTGAACTCTGGTCCTCTGGAAAACCACTGAACTATCTATCTCTCCAACTCCAATTGTTTTATTTACTAATGTGTGTGTACATGCAGTATGTTTGTAGGTGTGTCTGCTGCTTGGGTTTGTAGGTCAGAGGACAAGTTTGTGGCGTTGGTTCTTTCTTCCACCTTTACATGGGTCCCAGGAATCAAGCACAGGTCGATAGGCTAAGGCACCTTGCTGGCCTTGCCGTGATTACTGAGCTATTTGAGGGATACTTGTTGTGTTCACTATTTGACTGTGAACTTTCATGTTCAGATCTTGGTGTGTTGTCATTCCCATGTGCTCTGTTTTAATCCTTTATTTAACCCAAGAACAGACAGACATTTCTTATGTGGTGTTGGGCTTTTTGACTCTTTGGGGGCCTGCCACCCAGCTCCCAAATAAATTCATGGAGACTTATTCTTACTTATGAATGCCCGGCCTTAGCTTGGCTTGTTTCTAGCCAGCTTTTCTAACTTATATTATTCTGTTTCTCTTTAACTACATTTTTGCATCTGGGCTTTTTACCTTTCTTTATTCTATATATCTTTCTTTCCTTTTTACTCCATGGCTGGCTGTGTGGCTGGCCCCTGGTGTCTTCCTCTCCTCCTTTTCTCACTCTTTACTCTTTTCCCCAGATTTCTCCTCCTATTTATTCTCTCTGCCTGGCAGCCCCACTTATTTCTCTCTGCCTAGCTATTGGCTATTCAGCTCTTTATTAAGCCAATCAGGTGTTTTAGGCAGGCAAAGTAACACAGCTTCACGGAGCTAAACAAATGCAACATAGAAGACTGCAACGCATCTTTGCATCATTAAACAAATGTTCCACATCATAAACAAATGTAAGACATCTCAAACTAATGTTCCACAACACTTAAGTTCCTACCAGTGGTGTTGGAAGGGTCCAGTTTCCCTGCAGCTCCCCCTGCTGTAATCTCTTTTTATTTTAACCACCTTTGTAGGGAAGTGAGTTCTGCTGTCACTTTGATCACATTTCCCGTATGATCAGTGATATTGAGCAGTTTTTCCTGCACCTTTTGGCCATTTGTGTATCTTGGCAAAATATTTAGATCTTTGACCCAATTTTAAAATGCACTTTTAAAAATTGTATTCATTTTGGTTCACATGCATTGGTATTTTGCCCACATCTGTGTCTGTATGACGGTATCAGATCCCCTTGAACTGGAGTTCTAGACAGCTGTGATCTGCCATGTGAGTGGTGGGAGTTTAACCTGGGTCCTCTGGAAGAGCAGCCAGTGTTCTTAACCACTGAGCAATCTCTCAAGTGCCTAAAATGCGTTTTTTTAATTTTAAGATTTGTGTATTTTAGATATAGATATCTTGTCAGATACATAGTTTGAGATATTTTCTCTCATATGAGTTGTCTTTCCTGTCTTAGTTAGGGTTTCTATTGCTATGATGAAACACTATGACCAAAGCAATGTGGGGAGGAAAGGGCTTATTTGATTTACACTTAAACATCACTGTTCACCATTAAAGGAAGTCAGGACAGGATCTCAAACAGGGCAGGAACCTGGAGCAGGAGCTGAAACAGAGGCCATGGAGGGGAGCTGCTTACTGGCTTGCTCCTCATGGCCTGTTCAGCCTGCTTTCTTATAGAACCCAGGACCACCAGCCCAGGGATGGCACCACTCTCCATGGGCTGGGCTCTCCCAAATTGATACTAATTGAGAAAATGCCTTACAGCGGGGAGTTGTGGTACATACCTTTAATCCCAGCACTTGGGAGGCAGAGGCAGATGGATCTCTATGAGTTTGAGGCCAGCCTGGACTACAGAGTGGGTTCTTGGACAGCCAGGGATACACAGAGAAACCCTATCTTGAGAAGCCAAAAAAAGAAAAGGGAAAAAAAAAGAAAGAGATGAAGCAAAAGAAAATGCCTTACAACTGGATCTTATGAAGGCATGTTCTCAATTGAAGTTCTCTCCTTTCAGATGACTCTAGCTTGTGCCAAATTGACATGAGACCAGCCAGCACACCTCTTCCCTTCCTCCCTCTATCCCTCCCAACCCCCTCCTTCCTTCTTTTTTTCTTTCTTCCTTCCTTCCTTCCTTCCTTCCTTCCTTCCTTCTTTCTTTCTTTACTTTCTTTCTTCTTTCGACAGGATCTGGTTATGTAGCTCTGACTGGCCTGGAACTTACTATGTAGATAATGCTGGCCTCGAACTCACAGAGATCTGCCTGCCTGTGCCTCCTTCCTGATAGGACTAAAGATATGTCCACACCTGGCCTAGTTGCCTTATTTTTCTTTTCTATTCTTTTCTCCCTTTCTTTTTTCTTTCTTTTCTTTCTTTCTTTCTTTCTTTCTTTCTTTCTTTCTCCCTTTTCTTTTTTTGTTTTTTTGTTTTTTTGAGATAGGGTTTCTCTGTGTAGCCTTGGCTCCCCTGGAACTCACTTTGTAGACTAGACCGGCCTTGAACTCACAGAGATCTGCCTGCCTCTGCCTCTCGAGTGCTGGAATTAAAGGTGTGCAGGGCTACCGCCTGGCTCCTTATTTTTCGTAGAGCACTTTGGCACATCAAAATTTTCAGTTTGATAAAGATAAATCTATTTATTCTTTTATTATATTTTATTTGCCTTTAATTACATTTTATATATTTATGTATATATTTGCGTGTGTGTTTGTGTGCGCTTGTGTGTATGCCTGCGCTCAGCATGCATGTGGAAGTCAGAGAGGACAGCTTGCAGAAGTCAGTTTTCTTTCCACCCATATGGACCCGGGGATCCAGCACAGGTCATTAGGCTTGGCAGCAAGTGCCTTCACTCACCGAGACGTCTCAATGGCACTTTTTTTTTCTTAATTTTTCAAGACAGGGTTTTTCTGTGTAGCCCTGGCTATCCTGGAACTTGCTCTGTAGACCAGGCTGGCCTTGAATTCACAGAGATCTGCCTCCCAAGTGCTGGGATTAAAGGGCATTATTAGTATTATTATTACTTAGATTTTAAATTATCCATATTTTTTATAGTGTAAAAGTTTTTCTAATAAAAAAGTTTTGTGTGTATCGTCTTAGGTATGAGAGGACCAGTATTGTAAACGTTTTGTAGCTGATAACCTCAGGGTGACACATTTTAACTCTGTCCCCCACTCTTCTCAGCCCAGGAGGCACTGTGCAGGCACTGACGTCATCAAGTCACCACTTTGCTTTAGATTGGTGTAAAAAAGGGATTAAAACAACAATTTAAAGTGCACTAGAGGTACCCACAAATCCTTTCGCCCTATAAGCACATCTCAAAGAAGGGCTTCTCTGTGAGCTGGAGCAACCGTACAGAACTTTGAGACATAGATGTTCTGTGCTCTAAACCATTTAGTAATGTTGCTTTAGGCCCCACACATACAGTTTAGCTTGTGGTTTAAAATAAAAATTATGGACAAATTACAGAACTTTGCACTGTTTTAGTTGGCGGTCATGAAGATTTAATTAAAATGTTTTAAGTTTTATTTTATGTGTTATGGGTGTTTTGCCTGTGTGTATATCTGTGCCCCATGTGCATGCTCAGTGCCCACAGAGGCCAGAAGGGGGAATCCGATCTCCTGGAATTAGAGTTACAGATGGTTGTGAGCCTCCATGTTACATGCTGGGAATTGAACCTGGTCCTCTGTAAGATCACATGTGCTCTAAACCACTGGACTGTCTTTCTGGCATGGAGTTTTTGTTTTGTTTGTTTTTTCAGACAGGGTTTCTCTGTGAAACAGCCCTGGCTATCTTGGAACTCACTCTGTAGACTGGGCTGTCCTCAGACTCACAGAGATCCGCCTGCCTCTGCCTCTCGAGTGCTGGGGTTAAGGGTGTGCACCACCACTGCCCAGCATTTTTTTTTTTAACAACATAAGTGGCTTTTCTTTGGGGTACCTTAGCGTAAAAAAACAAACAAACAACAACAACAACAAAAAACAATAGTTAGCTGGGTGTGGTGGCTACACTTTTAATCCCGGGACTCTTGAGGTAGGCAAATCTGTGTGAATTCAAGTCCGTCCTGGTCTATATAGTAAGTTCCAAGCCAGCCAAGGCTACATTATAGTGAGACCATGTTTCAAAAAGAGAAAGTGAGTTGAGGTTGACTGGAGAGATGGCTCAGCGGTTACGAGCACTTGCTCCAGTTCAGGGCACCTGATGCTTCTGGTGTTTCTGGGCACTTGCACCCACGTGTAGATATACACACACCACATGCGTATAATTAAAACAATAAAAATAAACCCTATGAAATTAAAGGTAGTTGGCTTACGTCATGACTGCAACTAATAAGGAGTCAAAGCTGTGTTCACAGCCTTAGGCCCTTACCTCATTGATGGCAATCCCCTGTCCCTTTCTTACAACCCTGAGTGTACGGATGCCATCCACAGCCTCTTGCTTCTTTCCCAAAGGCATGCTATCTACCAGCAGAACAAGGAGCACTTCCAGGACGAGTGTAGCAAGCTTCTGGTCGGCAGCATCGTCATCACACGCTACAACAACCGCACCTACCGCATTGACGATGTGGACTGGAACAAGACCCCCAAAGACAGCTTTGTGATGTCAGATGGGAAGGAGATCACATTCCTGGAGTACTACAGGTACAAGAGAGAGGCTCACTTGGGGCTGAGGGTAGGGGTGTGATGTGTTCTCCCAGTCTCTGGGACATTGAGTACTATTAATAGCATGGTACCAGACACTGTACAGATCCTTAAACACCTGAGGCCAAATGAGCGTGTCTGTGGGGTCCAGCCTGATTATGTTATTCTTACAGGTGGTTCTTTTGGCAGTACCACATAAAGGAACTTTGGGCTATGAATTGTATTTTTCCTTTTGATTTTGTCTGGTGAGAGAAGTGAAATTCCACTCTTTATTAGACTTTTATTTTACCGTGGTGTTGTCTGAACCCAGGTGCATCTTTCACATGCTTCTCTCCTGGGCTTATAGCTTTTGTTCTTTGTCTGTTATCCGATGGATTCTCGGTGAGGGGACTGTGCAGATTGTAAGCTGCAGGAGCATTGGTAAGAGCTGCAGGGTGGTTGTCGGAGTGGTGGTACTGTTTCTTACTCTGTCCTACTTCAGCAAAAACTACGGGATCACAGTTAAGGAAGATGACCAGCCGCTGCTCATCCACAGGCCCAGTGAGAGACAGAATAACTACGGCACGGTGAGTGCTGTACACTCCCAGCAATAGTCCTCTGTCCTGTTGGCCACTTGTTATGTGCACTCACATGCATGTGCGCATGTGTGCATGTGTGCAGTGTGGTGGAGCACACTGGGCATGGTTGGATTTTTCCTCCAGCCAGAGTTGCTAGGCCACATCAGGAGGAGCTGAATACCCAAATGAACAATTTAGGTTAAAGGCATAAGGAGAATTCCCTGTATATAAAGGGGCTGGGAGATGATAGAATGGTTAAGAGTACTGGCTGCTCTTCGAAAGGACCTGGGTTCCATTCTCATCACCCACATGGCAGCTCACAATTGTCTGTGACTCCAGTTCCAGGGGAATATGAAGCCCTCTTCTGGCCTCTTGTGGGTCTCAGGTACATACATACATGCACACAAAACACTCTCATATTAAAAAAGAGAGATTAAAAACATACGAACATGGTAGCACATGCCTGCAATCTCAGCACTTGGGAGACAGTCAGAGGCAGACAGATTTCTTGAATTCAAGGCCAGCCTGGTCTACATAGTTAGTTCCAGGACAGCCAGAGCTCTGTAGTGAGACCCTGCCTCAAAAAAAAAAAAATGTTGAGTTTATGGGGGTTGGGGAGATGACTCAGTGATTAAGAGCACAAAGTGCTCTTTCTGAGAACCTGAGTTCAATTCCCAGCACCCACATCAGGTAGCTTTACAACTGCGTGTAACCCCAGCTCCAGGGGATCTGACACCTTTGACCTCTAGGCACTTGCATTCATGTGTGTATACCCACCACACACATACACATAATTAAAACAATAAAAATGACTCTTTAAAAAAAGATGCAAATCTGTAGATTCCAAAAGGGAATGTGTGACATTTATTTTAACAGAAGGGCCCAGAGAATTGCCTTGACACAGTTCTTAATCTTTTTTTTAAATTAGAAAACATTTCAATGTATTTATTTTATGCGTGTGGATGTTTTGCCTGCCTGTGTGTCTCTGCACCATGTGCATGCCTGGTGCCCACTAAGGTCAGAGAAGGTGCCTGAGCTCCTGAGACTGGAGTTTCAGAGGGTTGTGAGACAGTGTATGGGTTCTGGGACCCAACTCCCTTCCTCTGCAGAAGCAACAAGTGTTTTTAACTGGTGAGCCTTCTCTGTAGGCCCCTGTCTTCTGCTGAGGATCCCCAGAGCAGGAAACACTGAGCTGGACAGGTCATCTTGCCATTGTGTTGAGGCTCAGTAGGGCCAAAACTTGTTGTTTTTAAATTTTCTCCCTCTTCTGTGACAGTCCCTTCCCACCCCCATTAACCTAGCACAGCAGCAGCTGTATCGTGACAGGACATGCAGGGGCGAACACATGCACTGTCCCTTGTCCTCTCCTCTCCCTGGGGTTCTGTAGACGTTCCTCAGTGGTGGGTTTGTTAGTGCAGACCTGCACCCACCTCGAGTGGGCCCGGATGCCATCTCTGTCCCTCGCTTTCCTGTTTTCTTGTCTAAGCTGCTGAAGGGTGAGATCCTGCTGTTGCCTGAGCTCTCCTTCATGACGGGGATCCCTGAGAAGATGAAGAAGGACTTCAGGGCCATGAAGGTCGGACTTTCACTGTTTGGGGATGCCTGCTCTTTGGGGGAGATGCCTGCTTTGAGTAGCCACCTTTGGGATAGTAGCCTCAGCTAGAAATAGGTCAGGTTCTAGCTATGACTCCCTGGGCAAGCGCTTCTTCTGGGCTCCCCTTTCCTTTCTGTAGAATCTCAACCACATACTTTACCACTGAAAACGAGCTTTGGAGTTCTTTCGAACAGTGCAGACACTGGATCTAAGTGAAAAGGAACAGCCCTGGCCTCCCCCCACCCCCCACCCCAGTCAGCTGATGACGTTAACTGGTTATATAACTGTAATGAGACTCCTTAAGAACGCCAGATTACTGTAGTGTTTCTCTAAACCATCAGTTTATGTGAAGAGAAGGGAGCAAAAGCCAGTGACTAGGGAGATGCGAAGTGAAGCTGAGGTCTGGGAGCATCAGCTCGGCTCCTCAGCCACTCCCGGCCGTGTGCAGACAGACCTTCACTGCTGCCCTCCACGGGGCGCTCTGTGCTTTAGCTGCCCTCTGCACCCTGCTTTGTGGTCTGTCCACACCCACAGATTTGTAAGATTTTGAGTAGCCTTACAGAGAGTCTGAGGAAGCAGAAGGCCTGTGAGAGATTTCTTTCATGTTACCTGCAGCTCCTACCGTGCAGGTCAATGCTCCCTCTCAGCAACGCCCAACCACCTAATAACTTTATGATCTGTGATATCTCTACAACGCTAGAGGCTCTGAACAGCAGCTGTGTGGTTCATGAGTCTCAGAAGCACAGAGAACTCTTACTTGATCCAGTTTCCTCATACACACCTGCTAACTACCCCATTCCTCATACACACCTGCTAACCACCCCTATTCCTCATACACACCTGCTAACTACCCCTGTTCCTCATACACACCTGCTAACTACCCCTGTTCCTCATACACACCTGCTAACTACCCCTGTTCCTCATACACACCTGCTAACTATCCCTGTTCCTCATACACACCCGTTAACTATCCCTGTTCCTCATACACACCCGCTAACTACCCCTGTTCCTCATACACACCCGCTAACTACCCCTGTTCCTCATACACACCCGCTAACTACCCCTGTTCCTCATACACACCTGCTAACTACCCCTGTTCCTCATACACACCCGCTAACTACCCCTGTTCCTCATACACACCCGCTAACTACCCCTGTTCCTCATACACACCTGCTAACTACCCCTATTCCTCATACACACCTGCTAACTACCCCTCAAAGCACCTATAATGTGGCAATACTGGGGCAAGTTTTTTTTGGGGTGAGGTGGGGGCCATATGGTGATGCTGACTTTCTAATACAGGATGTGGTTTACTGTCCTGTTGTGTTTGGCCCTAGCATAAATGTATGGCCCTCCCTCGACTTCTTCCCCAGATTTTAAATAGATGTAATTAAGCCTCCTTCATTCCTGTTCATAGACTCTCTTAGGAATTTTAAATTCATAAGATGCCTTGCAAAAGAAATCAGATGCCGGGGTTGGGGATTTAGCTCAGTGGTAGAGCACTTGCCTAGCAAGCGTAAGGCCCTGGGTTCAGTCCTCAGCTCCGGAAAGAAAAAAAAAAAAAAAGAAAGAAAAGAAAAGAAAGAAATCAGATGTCATGGAGCAGAGTCAGTAACTTTAAAAAAAATTATTTTGAGACAAGGTCACACTATGCATCCCTGGCTGGCCTTGGACTCCCCAAGATCCGCCTGCCTCTGCGCCCAGGTGCTGGGATTAAAGGCATGAGCCCAGCAAGAGAGACAGTCAGGGGCTTCTGAAGGTTGTTAATTTTGTTATTAAATTTTCTCCATGTATCTCGTTCACATTCCTTAGAAGTATGTACAAAAGTCCTTCGCTATATTTGACGTTTTCCACTAATTTCATGAGATTGCTCACCACTGATGAGATTTCATACCACTGGGCTTCATTAGCCGCCTGCTAGAGGGAGTAATGCTTAGAACTTGCTATCTTACTTTTTAATTTTGTCTAGGACTTGACTCAGCAGATTAACCTGAGCCCTAAACAGCACCACACTGCTTTGGAATGCCTGCTGCAGAGAATTTCACAAAATGATACAGCCAACAATGAGCTGACCCGCTGGGGGCTCAGTTTGCAAAAAGATGTCCACAAGGTAAGCCAGAGGTGCATGAGTGGCATCTGCCTGAACCAGGGGCCTGGAGTTGTGAGGCAAGAGGGTATCCTCCCTTGTCTCCAGCTGTGAGGTTTTTGCTTTGCTCTCCATTTCATTTTGTTTTGTTTTTTGTTTATTTGTATTTTGTTTATTTTATGTATATGTTTTGTCTGCATTTATGAATGTGCATTACATTCCTGCCTGGTGCTTGCAGAGGCCAGAAGATGGCTGGAATTACAGATGGTTGTAAGTTCTCACCATGTGAGTGCTGGGAACGGAACCCAGATCCTCTGGAAGAGCAGCCACTGAGCCATCTCTCCAGCCCCTTGGTTTTATTCTTAAACCTTTTTCCCCATGTCAGTCATAGTATCTGAATTTCCCCTGACTTAGCCTGCTAGCTTCATTTGCAGACTTTTCTTCTGTATTTCCCAAAGATCAGAGCTACAAATTTCTGATCAAATAGGAAGCAAGCAAGCAAGCAAGCAAAGCATTAATTTACAACTGTCCTTATTTTAATTTTCCAGCACAGATTTGTTTGTTTATTTTGGGACAGGATCTCATTGTGTAGTCCTGGTTGACCTGGAACTTGCTGTATAGACCAGGCTGGCCCCTAACTCACTGAGATCCACCTGCCTATATCTCTGGAGTGCTGGGATTAAAAGCATGTACCACCAAGCTCCAGCTGCCAGATTATTTTTAACATTATTTTTACATTATTTATTGATTCTTTTTTTTTTTTCCAGACAGTGTTTCTCTGTGTAGTCCTGGTTGTCCTGGAACTCACTTTGTAGACCAGGCTGGCCTTGAACTCACAGAGATCCACCTGCCTCTGCTTCCCAAGTGCTGGGATTAAAGGCTTGAACCACCACCGCCCAGCTTACGTTATTTTAATTAACATTTTTGTTTCATGTCTGTCAGTCTATCTATCTACCTATTGTGTGCATGCGTGTGTGTGTGTGTGTGTGTGTGTGTGTGTGTGTGTGCGTGTGCGCGCGTGCGTGTGCGTGTGCGTGTGTGTGTGTGTGTGTGCGTGTGCGTGTGAGTGTGACAGCCACAGTGCATGTGTGGAGGTCAGAGGACATTGTGCAGGATCAGTTCTTTCTACCTTGTGTGGTTTGGGGATCAAGCTCAGTCAGACGAGTGCCTTTCCCTGCTGAGCCCTTGCTAGCCCTAGTTTAATTTTTAGGCATTTTTCTGTGGTGCTGGAGATTGAACTCTAAACTAAATGATTCTTAGAGTTCTGTGCCTTTCTTTTTCTCTGTTTTTTTAAAAATTTTGTGTGGGTGGTAGTGATGTACAACTTTAATCCTAGCAGTAGGGAGACAGAGGCAGGTAGATCTCTGTGAGTTCAAGGCCAGCCTGGTCTACAAAGTGAGTTCCAGGACAGCCAGGCTACACAGAGAAACCCTGTCTTGAAAAAACAAAAAACAAAAAAAAAGATTTTTTTTTGTTGTTACATTTTATTTATTGTATGTATGTACACAGGAGTGTGCCACGGCATGCATGTGGAGGTCAGAAGACAGCTTACAGGAGTGGGTTCTTTCCTTCCACCACGTGGGTCCTGGGGATCAAACTTAGGTTGCCGTACCATTAAGCATGAGGACCTGAGTTCAATTCCTCAGTCCCTAGCACCACATAAAGAGATGTGCCTGGTGCTGTGTATCTGCACCACTTCACACCAGGTGGGGACTGTGTACAGTAAGGCAAATTCCCAGTGCTCACTGACCAGCCAGTCTAGACAGTCTGGGCTCTGGGAGACAAGCTGTGTCAAAATAAGGCAGAGAGCAATAGAGAAAAACATCGGCTGTGAACCCCTGGCCTACATACAACACACACGTACACACACACACACACACACACACACACACACACATGTTACAATATACAGACAAAAACTTCTTATCAGGAAATGATGGCAGGGATGTCAGCAGGTAAAGGCACTTCCTCCCAAACCTGCCGACCTAGTTTTGGGCAGTCTTGAGGCACAGTGCAGAGGCCATGTGGTAGAAGCCTCGGGCTCTGGTGACAGCCATTCTGGCATTGACTCTACTCTATCGAGTTGCAAGTTGGAGGCCAGCAAGAGTACTTATAAAAGAGAAGGAAAGGGGTGGGCTGTAGTAGGTCACGTGTGAGCTGAGCAGGCTTCAGAGGCAGTAGTGCCAGTGTTTTCTGGAAGAGTCTGTAGCTGGTTCCATGTCAGAGGCACTCTGTTTTCTGTGTAGATTGAAGGGCGTCTTCTGCCAATGGAGAGGATTAACTTAAGGAATACTTCATTTGTCACGTCTGAGGACCTGAACTGGGTTAAGGAAGTGACCAGAGATGCTTCCATCCTGACTGTGAGTGATTCCTGAAGTGCTGGAGAATCAGTATTCCCCAGAGTGTGGAAATGGGTGATTCGGTATCTTCTTTGAGAGGATGTACCATCTGAATTCCACTGAGTGACTTCTGAGCAAGGCCTTCTAGCTGCACAGTACTGGAGGGAAGCCCTGTCTGACCACAGGCTGAAGAGAAGGAAATACGTTACCATGGTGATTCGTCTGGTGTCAGCCCATCACCTGCTCTTCTTTTTTTTCTCCCTTCCTCTTTGACCCTGGGAATCCCCAGGCTTATTTTTATCCATGAAAGAAGTCAAATGAAAACAGGGCTCCCCTAAGAGACAACTAGATGTTAGTTATTTGCCTCAAAGTATAAAATAGTAGACAGTTATTTCTGGATGTTTTCGACCAACTTGGTCTTTGTGGTCATATATGGAAAATAACAACTTTTAAAGCTTTTAGTGAAATACAGCATAGTTGCTGGGTGGTGGTAGTTCACACCCTTATAAGGTCCCAGCACTTGGAAGGCAAAGGCAGGAGGATCTCTTGAGTTCGAGGCCAACCTTGTCCACAGAGTGAGTTCCAGGACAGCTAGGGCTCCACAGAAAAACCCTGTCTCAAAAAACAAACAAAAAAAGGGGAGCGGGGAGAGAAAAAGAAGAAGAAAGAAAGAAATACAGCATAGTTAAAGAAAAAGCACACTTAGAAGTATATAACTTGATTTTTACAAGTTAGATAGACTTTCTATAACCAACACCAAAGGCTAAGAAACAGAAATTGATAGGTACACTCAACCCCTTACTGTATTTCCTGATTATTCCCACCCCCATTCCCTGGGAATAACAACTATCTTGAACTGGCAAGAGTATATATTCTTTTGCCTGTAGTTTTATATATATATATTTTTTTCAGAGAGTGAACAGTCTTTTATGCCTGACTGCTTTCTTTAACCTTGTGTTTATGAGTTTCATTCATATCGTTGGGTGTGTTAGTAGATCTTCATTTTCATTGTTGTATAGTATTCCATTATAAGACTGTCCAAGTTTATAAGTCTGTGAAAATAATAGGAATTATATAAGGCAGAGGGACTCAAGCAGAGGGAGTACAAAGTCATTTATTCTCTATAGTAAAATCTCCACAGTCTAAATACACCATGTGATTATTCCTAGATTCCCATGCATTTCTGGGCACTTTTTTACCCAAAGAGAGCAATGGACCAGGCCAGAGAACTGGTTAACATGTTGGAGAAGATAGCTGGCCCCATTGGCATCCGCATAAGCCCCCCAGCCTGGGTTGAACTGAAGGATGACCGAATAGAGACCTACATCAGGACCATTCAGTCCCTCCTGGGAGTTGAGGTAATAAAGTAACTTCATTGGAGTAAACTTACAAGATCTCTAAAAGTACTTGGGTGCTTAATCTTAAATTATCTGGATTGTCTGTTAGTGGTGCCCTGTTAGTGGAGCCCATGTCCTCCTCATTTTCACATGAAATTCTATTCTTCATGTCCTTTGGTTATTTTCATTTCTCATTCTGTGTTGGCTTTCATGTGCTCCTGTGTGCTCTCTCTCTGGCCATTTCCTTATGAAATTGGCTGAAAGAACAGCTGGCTTAGTTCATTATCTGTAGAACATGCTGTGCTCAGGAACCAACTACTTGGGCCAAGTATTGTCTTCTGGATTAAGTTCTGAGTTGTAACAGAATGGTCTGGGCGAGGATGCAAATTGCCCTAGTGGTGAACTTGACCGTAGACACATTAAGTGATCCTGATAACTGATCAGAACACTGGGTCTGTGCACTCCTGTCCCAGTTTCCAGACTTTGCCTTCTTATCTCTTTGTAAATAAAAATATTTTTTCAATTTTATGTGTATGAGTGTCTTGCATGCATGTATGTCTGTTCACAATGTGTGTACCTGGCACCTGAGGTGCTAAAAAAGGGGTACCAGGTCCCCTGGAACAGACTATTATGAGCTGTCACATGGGTCCTGGGAATTGAACCCAGGTCCTCTGCAAGAGCAGCAAGTGCTCTTAACCACCAAGCCATGTCTCTAGCCCTTTGTAAGCAGAGGAAGAAGACAAGAGAGGATGGAGGGATAAGAAAAGTTGTTGGCAATAATTATCCCATGAGCCCAAGAGTCTGGTGAGTTGATTGTTCTGGGAAGATCAGTCCTAGAGTGGGAGTCTCTTAGCATTGTGGTATTCTGTTTGATACCCAGTCTTGGAAGGTCCTCTGTTTTGACATTGGCTAAGAGTCCTGGAGATGAGGCTCCTGCCAGGGGTGGTGCTGGCAGTGTCTGTTCTCCCTAGACGGAAGGTGAGGACGAGCTACTGTGGACTTGACTCTGCACACTTCCGTGTGGTGCTACGTGCCGTGCTTCCTCGCTGAAGTCTGTGGTCTGACACGTTGTTGAGTTGGCTGAAGAGCACAGGAAAGTCATTGAGAGAAGTTAGAGGAGTAGTCCTAGAACTCTACTATACTTCCAAGCCTGGTCCTTATCTAGAATCTGAAGCCGCCTAGTAAATAAACAGTAGTAGTCATTGCCAGCTGCAGATGTTAGGAGTGTATTACCTGTCCATGAACAGCAGCTCTGAGCCAAATGCTAGTTCAGATTCAGAGGACGTTTCTGGTTGGAATGCCCACCATCTGTTTTTCAGTTCTATGTCTGCCATATCTGTGTCCCATGAAAGTCCCCAGAGTGATCAGAGCCTGGCAGTGTATGCTTCTGTCCTCTAGGGGAAGATACAAATGGTCGTTTGCATCATCATGGGCACACGTGATGATCTCTATGGGGCCATCAAGAAGCTGTGCTGTGTGCAGTCCCCAGTGCCCTCCCAGGTGAGTGGAGGTGGAGGAAGTGGTTGAGTCCCAGCTCAGGGCCTCTAAAGCTCCGGAAGCTGGAATAGCATTAGAGACCAGGATAGGGAGAGCCTTATGCTGCGAGGTTCTGATCAGGAGGAGCCAGCAGCAAAGGGGGCTCTTGTGAGAACTCTTTCTGCTCCTCATGACCCCTGGGGGCTTCCCCATGACCACGCCTGGACGTGTGGGCTTCACTCTGAGAAGGGAAGGTATTTTCCCAAAAGGAGCTATAAAAATAACACTCTGAATAATATGAAAATTTTTGAATGTTCATGTGTGTGTTATGCACATATATGCCTAGTGACCCTAGAAATAATAATAATTCTATTAACAGACATATGATAATTCAAGTTTCCTAAATATAGTATACTCAGCCCTCAGTATTTGTGGTCTTTTGAGACAGCCTCATGTCACCCAGACTAGCCTCATACTCCCTGTGTGCACAAAGATGACTTTGAATTCCTATCCCTCCTGCCTCTACCTCCCCCAACCCCAACACAGACATAAAGTGCTGGAATTACAAGCATGCCACCATGCCTGGCCTGTCTGTGAATTTGCATAAGCTGATTCATCAAACATAGTTTAAAACATTCTAAAAGAAAAGTAGACCTCTACTGAGCTCATCAGACTCACAAGGGAAACCCTTGTGCTTATTCCCTAAACAATACAGGATAACAGCTATTTACATAGTGATTACATTCAGTCCTAAAAATAATGGTGATCTGGGTGTAGAGGAGGGTATGGGGCGACTATACACAGACACTGCACCAGGAGGGTGTGGGACACCTATACACAGACACTGCACCAGGAGGTTGTGGGGCGGCTGTACACAGACACTGCACCAGGAGGGTGTGGGACACCTATACACAGACACTGCACCAGGAGGGCGTGGGGCACCTATACACAGACACTGCATCAGGAGGGTGTGGGACACCTATACACAGACACTGCATCAGGAGGGCGTGGGGCACCTATACACAGACACTGCACCAGGAGGGTGTGGGACACCTGTACACAGACACTGCACCAGGAGGGCGTGGGGCACCTGTACACAGACACTGCATTAGGAGGGTGTGGGACACCCATACACAGACACTGCACCAGGAGGGTGTGGGACACCTATACACAGACACTGCACCAGGAGGGTGTGGGACACCTATACACAGACACTGCATCAGGAGGGTGTGGGACGGCTGTACACAGACACTGCACCAGGAGGGTGTGGGACACCCATACACAGACACTGCACCAGGAGGGTGTGGGGCGGCTGTACACAGACACTGCACCAGGAGGGTGTGGGACACCTATACACAGACACTGCACCAGGAGGGTGTGGGGCGGCTGTACACAGACACTGCACCAGGAGGGTGTGGGACACCCATACACAGACACTGCACCAGGAGGGTATGGGACACCCATACACAGACACTGCACCATTGCATGGGAGGGAGTTGAGCATCCTCTGCTTTCGGTTTCCTTGTTGGGAGGGACAGAGGTAGGGAGGGCATGGAGCCAAAAGATGCTAGTGCTTTAGAACTGTTAACATCTCCTGAGAGATTGGTGATGTTCTGGTCCTATCACTATAGGTCATCAATGTCCGAACCATTGGTCAACCCACCAGGCTTCGGAGTGTGGCTCAGAAAATTCTACTGCAGATGAACTGTAAACTGGGTGGTGAGCTCTGGGGAGTGGATATTCCACTGGTGAGTGATGTTGAAATGTGTCTTTTCTGTGCCTGGCCCTTTCCCATCCTCCCCTCTTGTCATCCTTCTGTTCTCAGTGTGGATTCGGGTCCAGCTGGCTGCTGCATGTTACTTGACAGACCATGAGCTAAGCATGTACTTGACATCTTCAAGTGGTGAAAAAGTGACGGTCAACGTTTTCTGACACTTGAAGATTTTCTTCTTTGGGTTCTCAGTATTTTAAGTACACGTTGACTGGAACACAGCATCGGTTGCATCCATTAACCACTGTGGCCCTCAAAAGGCAGAGTTACCAGGTTCCTAGGGAGACGCTCAGCTCACAGAGCCTGAAGATTTACTCATTTGTTCTTCATAGAAAATACTTGCTGACCTGGTCTAGATCTGACGGGTTTATTGTGTTTAGAAAAGGTCAAGTTGATTGCAGTCTTTCTGTTTCTTTTATAGAACTGGTTTTCTTTTTTTATAATTAATTTAATTTTACATATCAGCCACAGATTCCCGTCCTTCCTCCTCCCACTCCCCAGCCTTCCCCCCCAACTCGCCCCCCCATTCCCACTTCCTCCATGGCAAGATCTCCCGTGGGGAGTCAGCCCAGCCTGATAGACTCAGCCAAGGCAGGTCCAGTCCCCTCCTCCCTGCACCAAGGCTGAGCAAAGTGTCCCAGCATAGGTCCTAGGTTCCAAACAGCCAGCTCATGCACTAAGGACAGGTCCTGTCTAGGGGCCTCACAAACAGTTCCAGCTAATCAACTGTCCCACTTATCCAGAGGGCCTGGTCCAGTTCCATGGGGGCTCCTCAGCTATTGGTTCACAGTTCATGTGTTTCCACTAGTTTGGCTATTTGTCCCTGTGCTTTTTCCAATCATGGTCTTGATATCTCTTGCTCATATAAACCCTCCTCTCTCTCACCGATTGAACTCCTGGAGCTCCACCTGGGGTTTGGCCATGGCTCTCTGCATCTGCTTTCATCATTCACTGGATGAGAGTTCTATCATGACAGTTAGGGTGTTTGGCCATCCGATCACCAGAGTAGGTCAGTTCAGGCACCCTCTCGACCATTGTCAGTAGTCTACAGTAGAGGTATCTTTGTGGATTTCTGGGGACCTCTCTAGCACTCTGCTTCTTCCTATTCCCATGCAAGAAAAGAGATACCATGATAAATGAAGACCCCATGGAAATAGAACTTGTTTTCATTTGTAAATTTTAAGGGAGGTTGCTTTGAAGTTGAGATAATAAAGATAGAGCAATGGATTGCTTGGGTCTGAACTTTTGATTTTGTGTTTTTGTTTTTCAACCTAGAAACAGTTAATGGTGATCGGGATGGATGTATACCATGACCCCAGCAGAGGCATGCGCTCTGTGGTTGGCTTTGTTGCCAGCATAAATCTGTAAGTAATAGTCACAGTTATATTACTGTTGACTACCTCCTTTTGATGCCTGATGTTATTATAAGTCCATCAGATGAGTTTTGGGCACTCTGTGTCATAGTATAGGAAGCACTAAGTTCTTTCTTCTGTCCTCTCATACCTGTATTCGCAATGGGATTGCCACACTTACCAGGCACGGATCTGCTCCCTGTACTCTGCAGCTCTTAACAAGGACAGAGACTGCCAGCATCTTGTGTTACTAGCCTATTTAGAAATGGAATTGTCGACTGGGTGGCGGTGACACACGCCTTTAATCCCAGCACTCACGAGGCAGAACCAGGTGGATCTCTGTGAGTTTGAGGCCAGCCTGATCTACAGAGAAAAATCCAGGACAGGCACCAAAACTACACAGAGAAACCCTGTCTCGGAAAAAAAAAAAAAAAAAAAAAGAAAAAGAAATGGGATTGTCATTGTGGAAGGTGTGTGTATGTGTGTGTTTCTCATGCCAAAGGTCAACATTAGTTGTCTTTTTAAAGACAGGGTCTCTCTATGTAGTCCTGGCTGTCCTAGAACTCACTTTGTAGACCAGGCTGGCCTCAAACTCACAGAGATTTGCCTGCCTCTGCCTCCAAGTGATGGGATTAAAGACATGGCCACCACACCAGGCTTAAGAGGTCAGAAGAGGGCATTTGTCCCCTGAAACTGGTGTTAGAGCTGTGAGCTGCCATGTGTGTGTTGGGAATCAAAACCAGTTCCTCTGGAAGAGCAGCCAGTGCTTTTAGCTGCTGAGCCATCTCTCTATCCCCACCACCCCATTTTGGGGAACAGGATCTCTCTCTCACTGAACTTGGAGCTTGCCAATTCTGCTAAATTGGCTGGCCCACTCTTTGTCTCCTACCTCTGAGATTGCTGGTACATACCACCAAGCCCAGTTTTTACAAGAGTATTGGGGCTCAAACTAGGTCCTCATGCTTGGGCAGCAAGCCCTTTACCAACTGAGCCATCTCCTCAGCCCCAATGAAGTTTTTTTTTTTAATTTATTTATTTAATGTATGTGAGTGACTTGTCTTCATGGACAGCAGAAGAGGGAATCAGATCCCACTAGAGATGGTTGTGAGCATCTGGTTACTGGTAATTGAACTCAGGACCTGTGGAAGAGCAGCCAGTGCTCTTAAACGCTGAGCCATCTGTCCAGCCCCTGAAGTGGTTTTATTATTTGTTATAATTATGAAAATAAGATATTCTCATTGCACATACCTGTAGAAATTTAGAAAGCAAAAGTTCCTAAAGTTCATCCTTCATTAACTGTCACCAAAGGTTTGATGCAGATGGACCTTCATGTTCTCTCATGCACGTTCATGAAGCATACAGGTTTATGGAATGAACATCAGAGAGCAAGCTTACACAGACTGAGGAGGTCCCATCACTAGATGATGTATTTTTCTAAAATATTACACTGAGGGTAACTGTACATGTGAGCTAATACACATTTGTGTGTTTATTTATAGGAATGGGATATTACCGTGCACACTCTTCATCAGTGTCAATCTGTGTGTAGTGCTAGGTATGGAACCCAAGGCTCTACACATGCTAGACAAGTGCTCTGCCACTGAGCCACACCCCCCTCAACTTGTCAGTTATTTACATATTTATATCCAATATGTATTGGATATATTCCCCATCAATATAAGGAACTCACTTTAGCTCTGCTCTGCACTAAATTGACTATTTAAATAATCCTGTGCTGGTGGTTATCAAGTCCCTTTCTGTTGGAAGCAGTTTTGTAGGAAATACCCATAATCATACACATTTTGAAAGTTTTATAAAAAATTCTGAATATGGCTTACATGTATCTCCCAATCACTTTATGCTATTTAATAATAATAATTAGTATTAACTAGTGTGTGTGTGTGTGTGTGTGTGTGTGTGTGTGTGTGTGTGTGTGTGTGGTATTGGGGCTATGGCACATGTTTGGACGACAGAGCCACCCCTGTGGTGAGGTCAGTTATTCCTTCTACTTCGACATGGGTGTGGGCATGGAACTCAGGCTTGTACTGACCCTGCAAATGCATTTGGCAGGTAGATATGTGTTGAATTGGTTCAAAAGGAATCTTGTGTGTGCACAGCAGACCACAGGCTTTCCTGTGGGAGTGGCTGCTCACTGTGTTCTCTGTCTCTCCCTCCCCCACCCCTGCACCTGCCTAGCACACTCACCAAATGGTATTCGAGGGTGGTGTTCCAGATGCCACATCAGGAAATTGTGGACAGCCTGAAGCTCTGCCTGGTGGGCTCCTTGAAAAAGTATTATGAGGTGAGGAGACCAGAAATCCTAACATTTCTGCGTTTTAAGGGCTACCTATTAAATTTTGAGCAGGAACCTGGTGTGGCGGGAGGAAATCAAAGGTGAATCTCTGAAAGAACTGGAACCCAGTAGAGAGCTCAGTGTCCTGTGTCGGGTGTCTGCTGTAGAGCAGCTTCAGGGCCCAACACTGCACCCTGGTGTGGTCAGTTCACATCTGCCTGGTTGACCATGCTGCCTGCAGACAGAATTCCCATGCCCTTGCTGGCTGAGTTGGAGATAAACTTCAGTAATTAAGACTTACTAATTTAATTTACTCAACTGTTTATGACTATCATTAGCTGCTGACTCTTCATTTTGGTTTAGAACAAAAGCTGCACTGTAAATCACGTCTCATAATTTCAAAGAAAGCTACCCATGGAGAATTGCTGTCATTAAACTGATATGAGGTCTAAAAGAGTGAGCAAGCCAGGTTCTGAGTTTTGCGCTGGCCAGGACATGAAAGGAGGCAGTGGGGCCAGTGGGGCTTTGGACAGGGAGTAGACAACAGGAAACTTAGGATTCCATGTGACTGAAGTCACTCTCTGAAACCCCACCTTGTTTCTTTATGGAATTAGATTCCCGCCGTGTCCTGCATATGTTAGACAGTAGGGACTCTGTGTCTAAGAAGATCCAAATGACGTGGTAATTCATCCCCAAGCTCTGTTCTTTCTTTTCTTACTCCTGTTTCCTTGCAGACCTCACTCCAAGATGACCTCTGTGCCACTTTCCTGTTTTCTCCTTGCTCTTCCCTCCCTTAGCTGAAATGATTGGTTTGTGCTCTTCTCCCAGAGTCCTTCATTGTGTCCCCTCTACTGGTCATCTCAGCTTGATAACTTGGGTTTGTTGTTTCTGTCATTACCCAGCCTTCTCTGATTTGGTGGTGTTTGGGATCAAACTCAGGGCTTTGCACATGCTAAGTAAATGCTTTACTTCTGAGCTATATTCCCAGACCTCTCACTGGATTTTTGTTTTTGTTTGCTTTTGTTTTGTTGTTGTTGAGACAAGGTCTCTCTATGTAGCCTTGGCTGTCCTGGGAGTCCATATGTAGACCAGGCTGGCCTTGAACTCATAGAAGTCAGCATTCCTCTGCCTCACAAGTGCTACCATATTCGGCTTGGGAGTGGCTTTTTTCTATTCATTTCTTTGGTGATTTCCTCTCATCTGTTTATGCTTACCTTTTCTGGTTTTCTGGATGGAAGTCTCCTGATTTTTATGTGTGTCTGTCCTATTTTTCATATCTTATGCTTTTCTAGCAAATGTTAATTCAGAAATGTCATTGTTGATACAAGAATCTAGGGCTGAACAATGAACTTTACCTAAGCTTATCCCAATTCAGAAGGCCTACCAGTTGGAAGTTTGAGTGGCTCCCCAAATCTCGCTCAGTTTTGACACTTCACTGAAAGGACACAGAACTCAATAAAAGCTGTTATATCCATCTTTGGGGTTTGTCTTAGGAAAAAGATACAGATTAAAGTCAGTTAGGAGAGGGAATGCACCGTCCGAGTCAGGAAGTACTACACAGGGAACACAGTCAGTAGTTCTCTCCTGTGAAAGCAGAGCACTTTGTTTCCTGGCACCAAGATATGATAAGGCATGTGGAGAACTGCCAACCATAACCTGAGCCTTGCTACCCAGAAGTTCACTGGGATGCATACATAGGTGTGGTGGGCTGATTAATTGACCTTTTGATTGATTGAACTCTGTAATGTTTATAGTCTGACTTGTATGCAGCCTGTGATGCCTCTGTTCAGATAGCTCAACAGCTAATGAATGGGCAGAGTTCGCACTGTTTTGAGTTGATTGTGTGGCCCAGGCTATACTCTGTCTGTGATTGCCCTGCTTTAGCTGCCTAAGCACAGGGATTACAAGCGTGTACCACCAAACCCAACTTGAGGGATTTCCTCAGGTGTTGTGAGCCTCTTCTCCCCATCCTGTGGTCATGGCTGATCTGCAGGTGGGAAAAGAAAGCACTGGAGTAAGTTAATCATGGTCCTTAGAGCCATGAGAAGTCACATTTGAATTATCTTAAGTTTCCAGTTTTATCTACTGATCCAAGATCGTGATGTTCTCCAGTTTGTCAGTGCCTGTACTCAGGTACCCAGGGAAAACCTCCAGATCTTTAAAGGGATCACTCCAGAACCCACGTTATCTGTTATTTGCTTATTGTGAACGTCGTGTTTGGCTTTTGGTTTTGAAAAAGGAACACACATATGCCATTCTCCTTATTTGTTGTTGTTTGCTTGTTTTTTGAGCTGAGGTGTTATATTGAAACTCAGGTTACCCTGGAAATCACTATTAATCTGGGCTAGATTTATAGCTGTGAGTCATTATGCCCAGTGTGCTTCAGTTTAATTTAAGAGCTAATGAAAGAAGAAAAACAAGGAAGTGGAGATGCAAACAAAAGAACAGAAATGCAGAGAAGTGAGGGTTCTTAGGTGCCTTCCCCAAGGACATGCAGCTCAGAGGTTAGAAAGTTACTGAGCTTTAGAAAAAGGCTCCAAGGGCCAAAACTAAAGCTGAGGCCCCTCAATGTGCTTGTCCTGAGTATATGTATTCCCCACTCTTTGGGATGCGAATCCTAAATATTTCCAAGCTTAAAGCAAATAAAAAAAAATGGAGATAAATGAACTCTGACTCCTTTTATCCCCCCATGTGGATGGGGTGGGCTGTGACTTCTGCCTTAGCAGAAGCAGATACTAAGGTCCTTGGCAGGAAGTGACATCATCCCAGAGAGCAGCCCACAAGTACCCAGGGTGTGAGGAGAGAAAATGAGAAGAAACTGAGTAACTCACAGATTGAGTTCATTAATCAGATACCCTGTGTGTGGTGACACATTTCTGTTGCCCCAACTTCTCCAGAGGCTGAGACTGGAGGATTACAGTTTGGGAGGCCCTCGTCTCAAACAGATGAGGGGGTAAAGGCGCTTGCCCACAAGCCTGACCATCTGAGTTTGATCCCTGGACCTACATGGTAGAAGAGAACCTACTCCTATAGCTTGCCTACATACACACACACACACACACACACACACACACACACACACACACACACACACACAAATTGTAATATGCATCTGCCCCCTATAAATCAATGTAAAAAAAAAGAATAAAATGAATGAATAAATAAAAACAACTTAGTATCTTCAAAGAGATTTTCTAAAAGGCACTAAGAATTTGGACAGTGAACTGGGAGCTATGAAATCCACAATTTCTAGAAATGAAAACTGCAATTATTAAGATTGCACACTCCATAGATAGGTGTGTTAGTGTTTTAAGGATGCTATAACAAAGCACCATGGGTGGAGGGCTTGAAGAATTACATGTGTTTCCTCCCAGTTCCTGAGGTGAGAGCTTTGAGGTGAAGGTGGCAGTGGGTTGATTTCTTCTGGTGTCTTTCTTTGCCCTGTAAATGAATTTTCATGCATTCTTACCTCTGTGTTGGTGTCATTATCTTAAAAAAAAAAAAAGGCAGTCACATTCTGAGACCCAGCAGGGTAGGATATCAGCTTATAAGTTTCCTGGGGTGAACAGAGATGCTGCCATCCAGAGCCATGGGTAGCAGTGGTTTATAGGGATGCTGCCATCCAGAGCCATGGGTAGCAGTGGTTTACAGGGATGCTGCCATCCAGAGCCATGGGTAGCAGTGGTTTACAGGGATGCTGCTGTCCAGAGCCATGGGTAGCAGTGGTTTACAGGGATGCTGCCATCCAGAGCCATGGGTAGCAGTGGTTTACAGGGATGCTGCCGTCCAGAGCCATGGGTAGCAGCAGTGGTTTAAATACAGCTGAAGAAAGGTTGGAAGAAAGTAATCGGACTAAAGCACAGAGATGCAAGAGCTAAAAAACAGGGAGACCAACAGATAGTTCTTTCTTTTTTAAAAAAAAATTATTTATTTAATGTACACTGGGGTTTTACCTGCATGTATATCTGTATGAGGGTGTCAGATCCTCTAGAACTGGAGTTACAGACAGTTGTGAACTGACATGTGGGTGCTGGGAATTGAACCTGCGTCCTTTGGAAGAACAGCCAATGCTCTTAATCTCTTGAGCCATTTCTCCAACCCCTCAGATAAGTATTTCTATATGTATTTTTTGTTTGTTTTGTTTTCAAGGCAGGTTTTCTCTGTGTAGTCCTGACTGTCCTGGAGCTCGCTCTGTAGACCAGGTTGCCTCGAACTCAGAGATCCACCTGCCTCTGCCTCCCGAGTGCTAGGATTAAAGGCATGTGCCATCACCACCTGGCTTGTATTTTATATTTTAACTCCATACTACCTTTTTCTTCCTCATGTGTATTTTTTTTCATTTGTATTTTAAAATGTTAAAATAGCATGTTTTAAAATATGCAAGGCAGCAGAAAAACATAAGGACCAAAGCAGTGTCTGAGAAGACAGTAGAGAAGACTGTTCTGTAGCAGAGAGCTTGTCAGGTCATTGATTCAGAAAGTCCAGTAAGCATGCGGTACAATGGTGCATCTGTAATTTCAGCACTCAGGAGGCAGATGCAGGATGATCCTGAGTTCAAGGCTAGCCTGTACAGCCTAATGAGACCTGGTGTCTGTCTGTTTGTCTCTGTATGTGTGTGTCTTACATACACACACAGTCCAACAGATCCCAGGAGATGAAAATATGTGTATGTGCATGAGTGTGTATGTGTTTATGTATATGTGTGCAGAGATAGTTAGACACATTATAACAACTTGTTGGGAGCAAGCATAAAAATAGACATAAATTGGGAGAGCAAAGAAGAGGTTATATCCTTAATGGATTAATGGGTAACTTGTCAACCGAACCAGTGCAGCCATAAGGTAGAGAGCGGTGACTTCAGAGTGCTGAAGGACACTGACCACCAACACTGGACCTAATGTCCACCTCAAATGACCCCAGTAGTGAAGGGACATGGGAAGTCATCAGATTGACACTCAGGTAAACTACTAAAAACAACATTGTTCACAGGCAAAAGACACTCTAGGTAA